GGTTCCAGGTCACCTTTAATCTTCATCAGAGGTAACATGAACGCGTACCGTTATATCCACGAAGTTCTAGAACCCCATCTTTTACCCTATCTTGACACCCTGGCAGATCCAACTTTCCAACAAGATAAAGCCCGACCATATGTTGCAAGAGTCACAATAGACTTCTTTCAATATAATGATGTCACATTGTTACCATGGCCACCAAGATCTCCCGACTTATCCCCAATTGAGCACGTGTGGGATATGATGGGTAGGAGATTGACCACCTGATCAGATGCATGCCTAGGCGCGTTGGAGAATGCGTAGCACATCAGGGTGCATCCACACATTATTAAAGGTCAAAGGGCTTTAAAGCAGTGCAATCACTTTGAAATTTTTATCATTTACTTATTATGCTTCATTAAGTACTTATACAAAATTTTATTAAAATAAAACCATTTAAACTGGGTGTTCGGATTTGTATGTCACTTAGTATATCATTATTATTTGAGTGAGTCTGTTGTTTGTGCTGCCATATTTAACTTGTATAAGGAGTTAAATAGCTTTAGATAATGCGGGTAGTTATTTCATCATAATATTTACTGTTCCCCTATTTGTAACCATTTTGTCTGGTGATAAAACATTTTTTTCTTTAAAATTCACGTGTTTTGATTTTTCATCGCTTAATATAACATGGACGTAACTAAGTCTTTATTCTATGAATTACGACTGTTCAATTTCACAAAATAGGGCGTCTACTTTTTTGGAAATTTTGAACATATAAAATGAAAAATGAGTTAATCGTTGCTCATTTTTGAAAAGCTTGTAAACATGAGCAGATACACCCACAAATTCAATTATGTAGCAATAATACCTTTTGTCAGCAACAACTCAAATCTCGTGAAAATATTTAAAACGCTCTCCTGTAAAATTGGAAAAAATGAGACACGCCACTTCGTGTCATATACGACATATCCAATTAACCCAGTTTTGAACAGAATCATGAACCTGACATTTTTCCGCTGCCCCACTCATGCGAGGCTCCATGTAAAATGCACGACTATTCACACAGCATAGTTTCAGAAAACTTTACGCTGTTTCTTATTATACAGGGTGGCGCATCGAAAACGAAACAGACGCAGCTCAGTATTTTTTTTTGAAAAACGCTCAGACCCGTCGATTTTGTTTTCGAGGGAGACACAACTTTGGCAAAAAATCACGTTAACACGTGCAGCCCCCTGGGCGGGGGTGACACCAACCCTAAAATCTTAAATGGAAAGGGGGTCGAGTGATACCTTATTTTAAAGGTCTTTCAATTCCCTTTATAATGATGTAAAATACATGAGCTTCAGTTCAGTAGTTTTGAAGGTTTATTGATCTAAAGCTTAAAGTAGACTTTAATAGGTACATCAGATTAGTTTGTACTACTTTCAGAAGAAATTTTACTAAAAGAATTTACTTAATAAGTAAATGCTTTTCTGCACTACGCCCATGGTTTGTTTCTCATTTTGTTGTTGAAAATAGCTATTGTAGCGTTTTTTTGTGGCAAAAAAGTTATACCTTGAAGAAAGATAAGGAAATATCTCGTACTTATTTTAAATAGGAATTTAGTACATAGTTTGTGATTGATTTGACCAAACTTTGTTGCTAAATTAACTTGTAACGCTTTATTACATAAATTAACCATGGTATATTCCACAGCAGAAAGAGTTGAAATTATGGAAATAATAATAATAATAATAATAATGTCTTTATTAATCCCTCCACACTGCGAGGCGAAGTTTAGCCAGCTGGCTACTCTACCACTTAACCTCACAGCGCAGGAACACATACAAAAGGAAAAACATAACAATGAATAGAAATCGACTAAATAATATATACAATAATTAAGCTTAAATAGATTAATCTTAATAATAAACAAAAAAAAACAATAAAGACAAAAAAAAGTATATCAGCCAGCTTGGCTAGCAGACCTCAGAAGGTGGTTCTTAATGGCTCTCTTGAATGCAAGTATTCCCATACACACATATACACCTTGACAGCGTTGTAGGTGAAGCTACGATGGAAAATGTTGCTCCTATAACTAGGTATATGGAAGTCAGAGTTATGTCTCAGATTCCTGTAATTGAGATCCCCACGTGGTACCAGCCTTTTTAGTATATAAGTAGACTATTGATTTTTATTCGTTGTACTAAAATTAGTAAGTTATATGTAAAAAGCTGGTCAACCATCAACCATCTAAGCTCATTGATCTTCTTAGATACATGGCTAAACTTTCGCAGACCACAAACGAACCTACAGAAGCTACTTTAAATTTTTTGTACCCGATATCTAGTCACGTAATCAAGACAAGGAAAGTAAATAGCAATTGAATAATTTATTAACGATAGAACCAGAGTCTCAGCCAGTTTTTTGCGAGTCTTGAAATTCAGAATATGGCGATTGGTGTATAATAACTTCAAACGCATGTATGTTAAGCGAGATAAATGCGTAACATGTTGTTTAAACCTCAAATCTGAATCCATGGTGATCCCTAAATACTTCGCATGGTCTACTATAGGAATATGGGTTTCGTTAAGACTAGGAACAATTGTGCCATCTAACTGTTGTACTAACTGTTTTGGGCCAAATAGCATAGTATAACATTTTGAAGCATTGATCTTTAGACAATGTCTTTTGCAGTACTCTTCAATGTTAACTAGATCCAAGTTCAATTTATATGATGCTTCATGCATGTCCGAAGAATCAAAAGACAGAGTTAGCTGCGTGTCATCTGCATACGTTTGATTATTACAGTGCTGAAGGCAAGTATGTAGATCAAAGGTATAAACTAAATAGAGTAATGGTCCCAACACAGAGCCTTGAGGTACGCCAGATGCTACACTCTTTGCCGAAGAAAATCCCTTACGTGTTTTCACCTTCTGGGTACGATTGCGCAAATACGAATCGAAGAAACGTAGTGGCTTGTCAGAGAGACCATGAAATTTGAGCTTACTCAAGAGAATACCATGATGTACCATATCAAAGGCCTTAGAGAAGTCTAGCAGAATCAGAGCTGTTCCTATCTGATCATCTACATTTTTGATATCATCCGTAATATTTAATAAAGCGGTTGTTGTGCTATGCCCTGTACGGAAACCAGACTGATATTGCGGAATCATATTGTTTTGTTCAAAATAGTGGGCTAGCTGTATGTAGACAATTTTCTCTAAAAACTTCGACAAAAAGCACAACATGCTGATGAGCCGTAGCCTCTAAGGACACATTTATAATATGAGTAATGTGATTCAAAATTTCTGGTAAGCAGAGATGTATCATTTTACGAGTAAGTCCATCACAACCCGATGTTTCTGACTTGATATAAGTTAAAACATCCAGCACTTCATGCTGGTCAACGTAGCGAAAAGTAAATGAAGGAACATTAGTGCAGAAGGAGCTATTATCATATTTATGAATTGTAGACTCAATTAGCCTCGGAAATAATCAGTGCGCTAATAGAACAGCAGAAATATTTAATGATCGACATGAGAACAGTAACGTGCATCGAAAATATGTTCTAGAACTTGTAGCTAAATTTCGGGAAACTGGGTCATTCGCCAATAAAGAACGCGACATTTAAAACCCCATAAGGAACGAAGCAATAGTGTGGGGGTTTTAGGGCAAGTTTATGTAGATCCTACGTTAGGTACCCGCAAATTGGAGACTGTGTGTGGTGTTCGTCGACGTACTGTCCAACGGATTCTAAAGGCCCATAGTTTTCATCCGTATAAAATTCACCTGGTACAAGAACTTAATGAAGACGATTTTGATCGGCGATTACAATTTTGTGAAGATATGAGTGAACGAATTATAAACGGTGAACATTTTCTATTCAACACTTGCTTTTCCGACGAATGTTCCTTTTTCCTAAATGGCGTAGTAAATCGTCATAACTGCCGATATTGGTCCGATTCTAATCCCAGAATTTATCATGAGGTTCATGCACAGCAGCCACAAAAATTAAATGTTTGTGCTGGTATTTTTGGCGATCTTTTTTTCTTACCGGGAAATTTGACCGGTGAAATGTATTTGGAATTACTGGAAGACGCCATAGATCCTGCATTAACAGCCGTAATTGAAAATCAGAATGATCGGCGGTACATTGCGAATAGGTTGATGTTTCAACAGGATGGTGCCCCACCACATTACGCATTACGTGTTCGACAATATTTAGATCAGACGTTTCCAGATCGATGGATTGATAGAAGAGGTGCCATTGAATGGCCCCCAAGATCGCCAGATTTATCACCTTTGGATTTCTTTATGTGGGGTGATTTAAAAAGCAAAATCTATGCTACTCAGCCAACATCATTAGAAGACCTGCGACAAAGAATTGTGAATGAGTGCCTTCAAATTACTCCTCAAATATTGCAAAATGTGCGGCATCGTTTTGAGCAAAATCTTTATTATTGCATGGAGAGTCATGGTAGCCATTTTCAACATTTACTTGCCTAACGGGTCAGTTCATTCTTCATTTTTAAATTACTTTGCTGCCAAATGTATTGATCTCCACTAATGATGATGTATTACTTTAAATCAATAAATCTTCAAAACTACTGAACTGAAGCTCATGTATTTTACATCATTATAAAGGGAATTGAAAGACCTTTAAAATAAGGGATAACTCGACTCCCCTTTCCATTTAAGACTTTAGGGTTGGTGTCACCCCCGCCCAGGGGGCTGCACGTGTTAACGTGATTATTTGCCAAACTTGTGTTCCCGTCGAAAAAAAATCGACGGGTCTGAGCGTTTTTCAAAAAAAAAACTGAGCTGCCAGTAAATGCGTCTGTTTCGTTTTCGATGCGCCACCCTGTATAATGGATCTTCCCTAGATCTCTACCTGTACAGAAAGTTATGCCTTAGTTGTAGACTCAAAACAGCAATAATCCTTACACCTCTCAGCATTCTATTCTTTTGTATATTATTTTTCATATTTTAGGTGGATCCTGATTCGCCCGAGTTCATTATCCAAGCAGTGTACTTCTGTTGTATGTTTATTCAAATATATTTTTATTGTTGGTACGGTCAAGACATAGTGCTAAAGGTAAGTTAATATTTGCATAAGAAGAAGCATTTTCCATTAATTATGAAAATAGATGCAATTAACCACGACCTGTTGACTGCAAATCTTGTATATTAGGAAAAAATGTGTACAGCGTATCTTACACTTTAGGTACCGCATGTCTAAAGCCCGATTTTACTACTGGTCGGTGGGAATCAAAATTTGCGCCAATGGTAAAAATTTCCCGAAACTATCAAGTTCCTATGAAATAATTAGAATATTACAAGAAATCGACCATATTCATTAGATCCATCGCTTCAAAGACGTCTGTTCATTGATTGAATTTGTGACCCACATGCTTCTTCGCGCTCTGGATTAGTAAAATAGGGTGTTAAGGGCTATAACAGCTGATATATCGATAGACAGCGTATTTGAAGTAACGGGCCTAACGAATTTTGTAGATTTATTGTAAAATGTCTCAAACAACAGAAAGATTATACGATTTGGGCAAGATGAGCTCCTAAGTCTCATAATAAATCAAGAAATATACTAAGTAACATATAAAATGCAATACCCAGACTAATTCGTTGAATTTTGTTGAAATGCAAATTTAATTGCTGTCATACCAATCTATACTGAATCCAAATTAAAGATAAGATGTAAATAATAACAGTTAGCGCGTGATCTCTCGATAACAGGTGGAGGCAACGCCTCTTATTGGTCAATTCGCCATTAAATTTCAAGCGGCCGCCTGGCGGAATAATGCGCGGGGCAGGGGCAGGGCAGGCAGAGTTGCACTCAGGCCACCGTCCATCGCGTGTATCACTGCGTGCTCGTTTTTTCGTATTCACCTTGCTTGGTTGTTGCTGTTGTTGTTGTTAAGTGTATTTGAGTAAATTGTTAAGTTTCTGTTTCTGTTAAATACTGTCATCTTTGTTTTACAACACGTTGGTGGTAGTCCATCATTCGGAGGTAGCCCTGAATGCGGCCCTGTACGCCGTACTTGCTTTTGACAATCACACATCCATTCTATCTTGATTGTAAATATACTATAGATATTGTATCAGATTTGCGACTGTGCTTTGGGTATGACGCAAATGCATATTTTCCATTGGTTCATTATATGATCATAGCCGCTAATTTACTGCCCGAACACAAACGAAAAAATAAGTTTTTCTAATTAAACCAAGTGATTAATGCCATTTCATTGATTTAATATGAGACGTAGGGGCCCAAACAGTATAAGTAGTCTCTAGTTTGAGAGACATTTTACAAGGAATCGACCATATCTATTAGATGCATCACTTCAAAGACGCCTTTTTTTTATTGAATTTGTGATCCACATGGTTCTTTGCGCTCTGGTAAAATTGGGTCTAAGGGTTAGAACGGTTGATATATCGATAGACAGCGCTACTAGTCCTTGTGTAATATACGGGTTCAAGTTCCTATGGTATATGCAGTTATCGACACCTGTACATACATGATAGTTCAAATTATGCCATTTTTGTTCCTGTTCTAGAGCATAGAGATAAGCGTTTCATACTATTTGACAAATTGGTACAATGCCTACTCGTCAAATGTTCGGACTTACCTCTTTCTGTTCATGGAACGGAGTAAACGTCCACTTGTTCTTCGCGCAGGTGGTGTATTTCCTTTAACTTTGAGTACGTTGATGTCGGTAAGTTATAAAATGATATAGAATACTTTTAAGGAAATTCGATGTCGAAACTTGTAAGTAATTTACGGATTATGGATTAAAAAACTATTCAGAAGATAAACTAGCTCAAAGTTATTGAGTCATATTCACATGCGTCCCAAATGGATGATAATAATAATAATAATTTACTAGTCCTGTTTGGTATATCTGATATAGGGTAAGTCAAAACGATACAAATTAAAGTTACGCATACTGCATTCTTTACAAATATAGCCAAGTCAAAATTACTATGGGGATAAATTATGAGAATAACAAATGTCTGAATAAATATACAGGGTGACTTGGAAGTTGAGTCATTTATTTTAACAGTGAGTAGATCTGATCAAAAGAAATGTTTTTTTCCTTTAACATTTTTCTGGTAAAATTAAAGTAACAAAGTTATAGCCCTTTGGAAGTTTGAGTACCGCCCTGTCTCAATGATAATATTATGTGCTCGTGTTTGGCAACAACGGATATAATCCGCCATCCGTTCATCGCATCGGAAACAAAAAAGCGAAAGAATTTGGAACGATGTTTTTACAATTATTTTATTCAGTTGTGTTGTATACAGTCAGTGTCAGTCGGTAACGCGTCAGTGGATAGTGGTGTCTGTAGCGTGGCTCAAACGAAATAAAAAATGGCACATGTTTATGCGGATCGGTTTCCCAATCGAGTGCAACCAACCCCTCGTGCCTTTGTTAATGTAGTACAACGGGCTCGTGAATCAGATGACTTAAGACGGCATGCCGGTGCTCCAAGACCTCGCGATCAAATACAGGTCCGCACTGAAATACTTGTCGGGAGGATACTTTATAAAACAAGGTAATTTTTTTTTTAATTTTTTTTTTATTTTTACACACATATTTTGGTTTATCTTCCTTCTACAATCATTATCTGAAAATTAATGACTCAACTTCAAAGTCACCCTGTATATATATACAGGGTGTTTCAGTTTATTGTTGCATAACTTTAAGATTCGATAGAACTTTTAAAATTAATGCATAAAGTCTAACGTATATAAACATGGGTCGAAAAATGCGTGGCTTCCGAAATACAGGGTGTTTAAATTTACTTTCTAAAATAGTTTTTTTTAAATATTTCGAACAATATTTGATGTATAACAGTGAAAATTGGTATAAAAGGGTTTTTTGGTACGACAAAACGAACCATGGGCATAGTTTTACTGTAGCCGCTAGAGGGCGCTCTCTACTGTACCTGTAGTGTATTAAAATGAGCGAAAAATTTTTCATAGTGCAATTAGGTGCTTTTTGAATAAAAAAACTGATTCTTCGCACTTTTCAACATAAAAAAGCTCTCTTGTGAGTTTTCGTTATAGTTAGCCATTTTTGAGATATTTCGATTTTTAAGGTTCGATGCATTTTATAATTTTATACGAGGGACGCTCGGTAAAACCTCGTCCTCATCCAGCATTTTGGGATGTTTATTAACCCAAAATACAGCCAAGGGACAAAGCGTATATGAGTTTACGTATCAGTTTATGTTCATGTCGTACTTGATCTCAAAGTTGCACTTTTTTTACAGATTCTCAGGTCATCTTATTCATATATGGCAGTTTTACAGAGGCTCAATAAAAAGTGATTCAAGGGACAGAGTAGAATCAACCCAATTACTCTAGTCCTGACACGTTGGTCACATAAACAGCATTCGACATCATTTACCATCGCTGATCTACCTGACAGTTTGTTTGAAATATTTTGAGATATATAATGTGGTTGTACTAATTAATACTAAAATATATATATAAAGCAGTGGAAAAAATCACTAAAACCAAAAAGTAGACTTCTTTGAGACATGAAGATGACGTTAAGGAGCAGATCCACAACGAAATCTTCATCATGATATTTTTATTTTATCGTGAAATAAGAATCTCACGAAAAGTATTATTCCATTGTGGAAACATGTGTCAGACACGTGAAATAATCTCTTGAAACAATGTTTGATGAGAGTTCAGTCTCTTTTACAAGGGTAGGTGTAAACATGATTGTTGTTTGAATGACGTTGTTATATCTTGAGATGAAACTTGTGATCACACAAATGAGTGAACTAAGTGAAAAGAGAGATTTGAAAAGGCAAAATTCTAGTTTCAATTGGACTACAGCCATGTTAGTAGAGTCAATAAAGTTATATGAATCTAATCGCAATGTATGAGACTGTTCGTCAGAAAGCTATAAAGATAGAAATATTAGAGAATCAGCCATTAACGAAGACCGTTCAGCGGCTGGAATTACATTTAGCACTCATATGATTGTTTACCTATTGCAAACTTTAATGCGTCCAGCATATACCAAACAAATGGATAGAAGTGTGCCATTACTTGAAATGTGGAAACAACTTTCAAAATATTGATGAATATTAATGAACAGCAAAGGTCCTAAATTGGAGCCCTAAGGTACACCAGATGTTGCAGTATGAGTCTTGGATTGATGGCCGTCATATTCCACGTGCAGGCCCCTTTCCAGAGCTAGTTTCCAGTGCCTTTTGGCTTGAGAGTGATACGCTCCGGAACTACTCCAGAAACAATCCATGGACATGCAACGTGCGCTGGAACGGTATTGGTGCTGGGCAATACTGAGTTACTCAATAGGGTCTCTGGAAAGCAGCTCAGGTTGTATAAATATGAGAAGCATTAAAGGGTCAAACACGCCAGCAGATTCGGGCTTTGCTAATAACAAGTGGTGATCTACGAGCCCCTTCCCACTTCAGATGGACCAACTATTGAAATCTTAGTTTTTTTCTTATCAAACACAAATAATAAAAATGTGGCTGGGTGTAATAGGTTTAAAATATTAACAATGAATATTTTGAAAATATATAGTAGAAAACACCAACTTTATCACTCCCTAATCAAATTTGTAGAATAAAAATAACACATGTTGCAATTACAGCATATCAACCTATTTTCATTTCAATGCAAAATAAGTCTATAACGCATAGGTGGCTGTGAAAAATAAAAGCCATGACAATTGTTTTTATTAATCACAGCTGTCAGAATACGATTAAAATAGTTTTGGGTAGTTAAGGTGTTCAAAATGGGTAGAGGACAGGTTATTAGTGAGAAAATTCGGTTACTGATAATAAAATTTTTTAATTCTGGGAAATCAAACTCAGAAATTGCAACTTTGTTAGACTTATCGCGGTACAGTGTGAGAAATATTGTTAGAAGATATAACGTGACTGGTTCAGTTAATTTTAAGCCACGATATGTGAAAAAAAGAAATATCAGAAATGCCGACCGAAGAGCATTAAGAAGAATAATCGTGAAAAACAGGCGTGCCAATTATTTACAATTAAGTGCTCTGTGGAGTGACGCTGTTGGAAGGAGAATTTCGAGGTCCAAAACTCATAGAGAGGCCCACAAACTGGATTTAGCACTTGCAAGGTAAGTTGTATTATAAAAAAAAGTGAAGGAAAAACCCTAAAGTTGCACAACTTGTTTATAGGCCAAAGAAAAGCCACTATTAACTCCACTGCAAAAGAAAATTCGGCTTAGATCGGCTAAAGAACAAAGACAATGGACACCTCAACAATGGTGTGCAATACAGTGAAGTGATGAGGCCAGATTCGAAGTTTGTGTTGGTGACAGTCGCAGTAGAGTTATTCTCAAAAACAATGAAGCATTCCATGTTGACTGTCTGAAGAGAAAAGTGAAATTTCCAGCATTCATTATGGTCTGGGACAGTATGTCATCAAAGGGAGTAGGAAAACTTCCTTTTATTGATGAAAATGTGGATACAAACAAATATTTGGCAATTTTAGAAGAATCGCTTTTACCAGTGATGGAAGAATGTTTGACATGCGGCCAAGATTTTGTGTTTCAGCAAGTTGGTGCAGCGTGCCATACCTCAAAAAAGGCTATAAAATGGATGGAAGAAAATAATGTACCACTTTTGCAGTCCAGATCTGTCACCTATTGAAACTTTGTGGCACGAGATGAAAAAGGTTCTACGACAACATCCTGCCCGTACAATCACCGAACTGAGACAAAAGCTTCAAGAAATATGGGAAATGTGGGAAGGGGCTCGTATTTGATCAAATGCCTTTTGAATGTCAGTGTTGTTATCCAGCGAAAACTCGTAGTAGTTAACGAGCCCTTAGAGGATGGTTCCTTGTACTTTGGATAAAGGAGATACAAACTCACGAGATACACAAACCTTTATCGAACAAAAGAAAGAAGAAAAAAGGAGGACAAGCAACAGGGAGTTATTTTATACTATCCCCGCAGCTCAATTGTTACCAATAAAGCTAAAATAAAAATAGAAGAGGAAAAAACCACCTCGTCAGGTTCTTGGCTATCTCAGGTAGGCAACCGAGGGCAGGAAGTCTCAGATGCAGCTCAATACCCGAAGGTAGAACCCTCGAACAATGAGGGTTCACAGAAATGGGGGCTGCTCCGCAAGGGTGTGATACCTTGACCTTGAGTTCGCCTTGGATTATGACTGCAGACGGTTCCTTCAGCTCCATGGTTGAGTATAGTTATGTCTAGGGTTGAATCTCCATGAGGGTGAGAAAAATAATTCCGACAACAATCTCACTAGCGGAGGCCGATTTCTATTAAAATCTCCACCACCCGATAGAACCGCAGCACTGCGTGTGAAACTTGTTCACAGAATCGGGTAGTGGCCGCTGAATTCCTACACAAGGGCACCGGACATAGCCCGAACCGAACCCCCCAGCTCTCGTATTCATGGTCGGCAGAATTTATAAAAATGGAGAATAGAGTATGATTTTCTACCCCAATTTTTTAGACTAAGTGAAGTGGTTTCTTATAAAAGTGAAATTCGATGTTCTTAAGAACTGCTATAAAATTATTAATCTAAATAAGTGAAATGCTGCAACAATTTACTTGATCAAGGCATAGTTAACACACCACCCACCACAAAAAGACACTGTAACAGTGTGTATGACATCCAATTGACCTTGATCATCCAGAGCCTCAGAAATGTTTTGCGTTAAGCAAGTCAAGTTTGTGACAGTTGACCTCTCAGACATAAGCTCATGCTGCAATCTTTCCAAAGTTACAAGGTATTGCTCTTTCCCTATAGCTACAGATATCGCTGACATCACCACTTATGAAAATCGGACAAATCTTCGTAATTTTCCAGATCGAGGGGTATGTACATGTTGACAGCATTAGATAAAAATCACACAAAGACGTTCGGCCAATACATACATACAATCCTATCTCAAAAATTGTGTGTTGGTAATATTACCTTTGGCAAATCATTACAAAACTTACGTGTTACTAACTTGTTACTGGTTTGAGCCAACTTTTCCACGGAAAAGTACGCTTGTGTGGCTATCATTCTGTTGTCGACAAGATGCAGATCAAGTCCATCGGCAGGTAACCACTTTAATCCCATATTCCAGAAACAGCAACCTTCCTACATGCAGATTATAACACGAAAATGGATGTACAAGCAAATCGCTAATTTACACAATATGTAAAAGTGCATACTTTTATTCTTTACACTCATTATAACAGATACAAATATATACATATACAATAATATCTATATCATCATTAAGTATGTACACATTAATTTTTACATCTGTGACTGTCTCCATCCGAAGATTTGCACAACTTAGTCAACGTCGAGCTTTTTGAAATGTCCATGGTATCCCAAAATGTCATCATTCTTCAATGGATTTGGTCTGAGTTGTTCATTCACCTTCAAGGTATCCAATTTATCGAACCGTTCTTGATATTCTTCCAATTTCTTCAGCCACAAATCTGTAAGGTGTGATCTTATTTAGCTTTTTATAATCTAGTCATGGCGAATCAGGCTACAATGAGATTATATTCTTCGTTTAATACTACAGTCGGTGGTGGAGCCTCTTAAGGAAGGTTTAAATTTATCTTATTTTTTGGTCTCTCATGAACAAAGAAATGGAATCCAGAGCCGTCAACTTGAAAAAAAAAACTATACCTCAATTAATTCTGTTAAGGTATGAAAACATCGTAGAAATAAACATCCATGTAACCATAAATCGATGTTTTATTTGAGGAGATTTTGACCAGCGACTATAAAGTTCAATTTAGTTATCCTTGTGTGGTTAATTTTGTGGTTATTATATTATTATAAAATTTTTGACTTTTCTAATTTTTCTGTTAATATGATCAAAGCTTTTCAGAAAATCGTCAAAATCGTCTCAGAGGGTAGACATTGATGTGACCTCGTCTCTAAAATGTCCCATTTGCTCCGAAGTACCGCAAGGGTCTGCACTTGGGCCACTACCATTAATTTTATATATACAGGGTGTCCCAGAAGTCGACGTCAAGCCGAAACCGGGTGATAGGCAAAGTCATAACAGCTATCAGAAAAATATTTTAAAAAATTTTATGTATGTGTTTTGAAAACTATAGGTCTTTGAAAAAAATATAGAAATTTCACACCCTACGGCAGTCTGTCAACTCCTGTTACTACAAATATTAACTTTTTTTGGATTTTATTTTTAAAATGTAATGATGAATAATGCATCTTCAAACTGGTGTCTCAACCTTCCTGCCAACTTTTCTCGTTCAGGAAAAATTGCCACTTATTTCCCAACCAAGTATTCCAAAGTAAAACTTTGCTCAACTTTAACTGGCTGTACTGGAAAAAAATGTACTACGGGAGTTTGGCAAGTAACCTTCAAAGTTGGCGCGTTTAATAAGGATTCCAAAATGGTATAACACCTAGAAGATTACTCGTTAACTTATGCAATTTCCTAATTAAACAGCGATTATGAAAACGCACAAGGACCCTTAAGGATAACTGTTTGCACAACAGTGGGCGTCAAAATGCTGCTGATGACGATTTACCTTTAAAGCAAATGCTCAAACTGTTTTCCTTCAGCCGCAATACACGCTCGACATCTTCTTAAAAAATATCGGGTTATTAAACGAGCGAATCCACGGTTATTAACAAACTTAGCTGCTTCCAATAGTCTTTGCCGTAGCTCAGCTACATTTTGAATCGGCTTGAAATACACTTTTTCTTTTACAGTTCCCCAATAAGAAAAATCTAACGAATTCAAATCTGGTGACCGGGCTGGCCACGGTATTGTACCAGACCACCCTATCCATCTGCCTAGAAAGTTTTGATCGAGATACTCTCTCACTGAGAGTGCATTATGCGCTGGGCAGCCATCATGCTGAAACCACATGTCCCTGTAAATACTCAGTGGCACGTCCTCCAATAAATTTTCTAAATGATTTTGCAAAAAACCTCAGCAGTCAAAGTCTCTGGGAACTCAAACGGACCGATTATTTTACCATTTAAAATTCCTGTCCAATAGTTTATCTTGAAGCGATATTGAGATTTATCTTCTCTCATCAAATATGGGTTTGCTACGTGCCACTCGTGTAAGTTATGCAGGTTCATGTACCCATCTTTCTTAAATGTGGTCTCATCTGACCATACATTTTTTTCAAAGAACCGTGAATCTTCCCTGTGTCTTTCTAACATTGTGCGACAAAAAGCAACTCGGGGCTCATAATCCAGGGGCAGAAGAGCTTGAACACGCTGTACGTGGTGTGGATGGAGCACGTTTTTTTGCAAGATTCTATGGGCTGTACTTTTGGGCACACCTGTTTTTAGTTCTATTGCACGCACTGAAGTACCCGGGTCTTCTTCGACAGCTCCTAGCACCACGTCTTCGTAAGGAAGGAAAGATCTTCCCTCACCGTGTGATTGGTTTGGTAGTTGGCCCTCTGAGAACAGTAAGCGGTGCACATTTGTGAACACTCGATGATCTGGATGACGAGCTGCATTCGGGTACCTCTCACAGTAAAGTCTCGCTGCAGCACTAGCGTTGCATCTGCATTCCCCATAAATGAGGTGCATGTTAGCATATTCTTGTACGGTGTACACGGACATAGCGGCACTGCAAAATCACACTATCAAAGATAGTCTAAGGAAAGCAAATGTTGTTTTGAAGAGCAATTAACCAGTCCAAATCCAAATCACAAGCGATCAACAGTCCAGTTCACGAATCCAAAATTAGTAACAGTACGAAATCAACAAGTACGAACATGTAAAGATGCGCAGTAAACGAAGGAGTACTGATCGGTATCAAAGTGTGCAATAGCAAGAAAGTGGTGTGCTTTATCCATACCACATACAGCTTGTTCATCCTCTCCTGCCCCGGGATTATGAGCCCCGAGTTGCTTTTTTTCGCACAATGTTAGAAAGACACAGGGAAGATCCACGGTTCTTTGAAAAAATTGTATGGTCAGATGAGACCACACTTAAGAAAGATGGGTACATGAACCTGCATAACTTACACGAGTGGCACGTAGCAAATCCATATTTGATGAGAGAAGATAAATCTCAATATCGCTTCAAGATAAACTACTGCACAGGAATTTTAAATGGTAAAATAATCGGTCCGTTTGAGTTCCCAGAGACTTTGACTGCTGGGGTTTATTTAGGTTTTTTGCAAAATCTTTTAGAAAATTTATTGGAGGACGTGCCACTGAGTATTTACAGGGACATGTGGTTTCAGCATGATGGCTGCCCAGCGCACAATGCACTCTCAGTGAGAGAGTATTTCGATCAAAACTTTCCAGGCAGATGGATAAGGCGGTCTGGTACAATACCGTGGCCAGCCCGATCACCTGATTTGAAGCCTTTAGATTTTTTTACTGGGGAACTGTAAAAGAAAAAGTGTATTTCAAGCCGATTCAAAATGTAGCTGAGCTACGGCAAAGACTATTGGAAGCAGCTAAGTTTGTTAATAACCGTGGATTCGCTCGTTTAATAACCCGATCTTTTTTAAGAAGATGTCGAGCGTGTATTTCGGCTGAAGGAAAACAGTTTGAGCATTTGCTGTAAAGGTAAATCATCATCAGCAGCATTTTGACGCCCACTGTTGTGCAAACAGTTATCCTTAAGGGTCCTTGTGCGTTTTCATAATCGCTGTTTAATTAGGAAATTTTGAAAAATTCTCATCAGTTTTTCTTCAAATAAAAATTGTGCATAAGTTAACGAGTAATCTTCTAAGTGTTATACCATTTTGAAATCCTTATTAAATGCGAAAACTTTTAAGGTTACTTGCCAAACTCTCGTAGTACGTACATTTTTTTCCAGTACAGCCAGTTAAAGTTGAGCAAAGTTTTACTTTGGAATACTTGGTTGGGAAATAAGTGGCAATTTTTCCTGAACAAGATAAGTTGGGAGTAAGGTTGAGACACCAGTTTGAAGATGCATTATTCATCATTACATTGTAAAAATAAAATCCAAAAAAAGTTAATATTTGTAGTAACAGGAGTTGACAGACTGCCGTAGGGTGTAAAATTTCTATATCTTTTTCAAAGACCTATAATTTTCAAAACACATACATTAAATTTTTTTAAATATTTTTCTGATAGCTGTTATGACTTTGCCTATCATCCGGTTTCGGCTTGACGTCGACTTCTGGGACACCCTGTATATACGAGTATATACATATATATATATATATATATATATATATATATATATATATATATTGGATCTAAACGCTGTTGTCAAATACTGCAGTGTTCAATTTTCCACCGATGATTCACAAATTTGTAATCATTTCCAAAGTTTTAATATCCAAACTGAGGTCAATGATGATTTAAAATCTATATTAGTACATATGCAAAGAATAATAATCTTCAATTATTGAAACCTTCAAAGTCAAAAATCACTATTTTTTCAGAGAAACCATTTAGAAGTGTTCCGAAAAGAAATTTTATCATAAATTTGAACGGTGACTTTATTGGTTTTACAATTCCGATTTGTAAATAGGTTAACCTACACATCGCGCGGCGCCTGATTTGGATATTGCTTTTGGTGCGGTCTAGCCCGCTCACTTTTTCGGGACTTATTGTCTCGGTTTTGATACATATTGTTAAATGAACTGTGCGTTGTATGAAGTCTCAACTTTGAGCACACCCAGTAGAATTAACGAGAAAAAAGTTCCTCAAGTGCCTCACTTCAAGTCCTCAATTGTTCGCATAAATACCTTACCGTTCAGCTCCTTCAACGGCCGTTCACTTCCTCCGTAATCTTTGGGTAATATCTCACTCGAAATGTGATTCAAGAGGAGTTTTGGTGAACTGTGTACATGTATCTAACAAAAAAAACAAATGTCATTGCAAGTCTACATATGGTATCATGGACTATAATTATGAGACAACTAAAGTTCGCGACTTGACTTTTGATAGGACTGTTGGAAGCTTCCTAGCAAACTGACGAGCATATATACAGCAGCAAAATCAATCTATTTTCATACGTAATTTAATAAACTATGGACTCCCAGCTAAAGGATTCCTCCGTGTTTTACCAGATTCGTATACTTTATCTGAAGTCACTTGAAACACTGTGAAATACCGGGTGCGTTTTATATATCTATATTTAACGCGCTCTGGTGCTGCAAAAATCGCCAAATTTCGCAGCAAATATCCCCCGTATAAGATCAAAGGCAGTTTCACCGCTCCACGTGGAGTAAAGCACGCCTATGCGTGGACATAGCCAATGAGAAAGCGTGTATTTCAGAGCTCCGAACAAGTGCAGGTGGCTACTGAAAATTGAAACAGTTTAGCCAGTACCGTGTAGCGGTGAATAAACGTGTTTTCTTTAGTCTGTCCGTGTTTTTTCATAGATTTTATTAGTTTGTGTGTTTTTGACTTTTGAATACTCAGTTTACTTGTTGATTTAATTGTTGTGTTGATTGTTCTTGTGTGTCCTAAATATGGCTCTTTGGAGACCTTGGGAAAATGCTCCAAGCCACGAGGAGATGGTTGATGAACCTGTGCAGGCAGAATTCTTTCATAAAGATTTAGAGGAACAGACCCAAAAAGTAATCCTAAATATGTATGATTGTCTGAAAAACGAAAATCCAGATTCCTCGCAAAATCAAATTTTAAACAGAATTTGTATCCTGACAAAAATCAGTCGGTCTACCATTTATCGGGTTATAAAAAGGGGAGATGTAGTCAACCATTCCTTCCACAGAAAGCGCATAGGGCAAAAATTAAAAATAATAGACGTGGGTTTTCAGGAAGATTCGTCGTATAATATACGGATTTTATAAAGAAAATTTGGTGCCCACGTTGGAAATGATACGGTATAAATTAAAAGATTATCCTGAAGATTTTTATAATTACAAATGCTTAGACTCACTGCACTGTATTGTAAAACTGTGTGGTTTTCAATACAAAAAATTAGATAAAAGAATGGTGATTATGGAGTCGTCTCGAATCGTTGAATTGCGCCAAGAATTTTTGCACAAAGTTAAAATCTATAGAGAGCAGAAAAGAAATCTGATTTGCCTGGATGAAACGTGGTATGATACCCATGATGTTGTGCAGTACGGCTGGGTAGTGAAAATGGATTTATACCTAATGCCTTGCTGTTATCTGCCAAAAATATCAAAGAATCATGTGCCGACTATCATGAGGACATGACCTCCGACTTATTTGAAAAGTGGATAGAGCAGCAGTTAATACCAAACATTTCCCCAAATTCAGTGATTATTATGGACAATGCGCCATACCATTCCCGACAGAAAAACAAAATTCCGAATACAGGCACAAAATAACAAGACATTATTGATTTTATGAAGGATAAGGGAATGGAAATACCACAAAAATCAACCAAAGCCATATTACTGGATCTTATTAAAAGACAAAAATTTGAAAAAGAGTATGTTGTTGACAATCTGCTTCAGCAAAATGGCCATGAAGTATTACGTCTACCTCCCTATTACTGCATTTTTAACCCGATTGAGTTGGTCTGGGCTGCTTTAAAAAAAAAGTAAGAAAACATAATCAGACCCCTCAATTAAGTGAATCACTATTGGCCACAATAAGAGATGCAGTATCTCATATTGCTGCCACAGACCTATGGAAGCAGTGTTCTAGGCATATTATTGAAAAAGAAAATGAATATTGTGTTTTGCCTCCTGTAAATCCCATTGTAATTCCTCTACAAGATGACTCTAGCGACAGCTCCGAAGGCGAGGATGATATATAAATACCTATAATGTAAGTCTTTATATACCTTTTTATATACCTACCTGCTATGTAAATATTTGCCTATGTCAAACGTTGGAATTCTGTAATTTTTCCATTTCTTAACCTTCAGTCAACATAAAATCAAAAAAATAAGAAGATAGTAAAATCCATTTATTGTGATATAAAAGCATTATTATTATCGTTCTAAATAAATGACCGCACGCCTATGATACGTCATGAAATTACAAAGGACGCGCTATTTCAAGTGACTTCAGATAAAGTATACCCGATTCATTATTAACAAACGTTACAAACTGATACAAAAATGTCACTTGCTGATCAGCTATTTCTCTCAGCAGACGTCAGAACGTGATGGATACTCGTAAAATAGGATGTAAAATGCATGTGGCACAATACATCTACATACTTATAAAGGTACTCGCACATTTATTTCTTGAAAAGGTTAAGTTAGCAAGGTAAGACTCGAGGTCATAGAAATGATGCATTCGACTTTTTTGAACGTGAGTATACCGAATTTTTGGTGGCCATATTCGTACCAATTAAGTAGTTCATAATTGATTTAAATCCAATGCAGTACAGATTCAGGTGTGATTCCTTTTTCCTTCCGGTAAGTAAATGCTATCATACGCCCAATTAAGCTGTAATTTGATATTTAAAGAAGTTTTTTGTTTTACAGCCAATTATTTAACTGGTTTTTGTTTACTGTCACAGGAGGCAAGTATAAACAGGACGATGTATAAATTCTCTGGAAACTGGTGACCACACTTTACAGGTCGGAATTTTGATACCCCGCACTGATGGCGGTATCATCGAAAAATAATTCTCATTGGACTTTTTTCTGATCTCGGCTGTGAAGGGTCCTACAATCGGGTACTAATATCGCTCAGGTGAGAATCTTTTCATTTAAATTTCTTGACCGGTCATCGTAATACCAATTTATGCTATGCTCGTATCATTTACTCCTTATATGCTACTTGCTACTTTTATCTGTTAATTGTGTCGTCATTCACAAAGCGCAAGCGATAGCTTCTTTCAAAAAAAATGTTCCTACCGTATCTTTTTTGATACTGACCTTATTTGAGGGGAAATGCAAGCAAAAATGTCACGAAAAGTGGCCAAACTATCTTATTTTAAAACATGCCAAACTGTACGGACTAATTATTTATTCACATAAAGAGATCCCGAAAAAATACTCACCCTGTTTAAAAGCTTCTGCTTTAAAAACGACCTCAATAAATTTATGACTGGTTCTACATAAACTGGAGCATTTATCATATGTATCCCTTTAATTCTGTTTGAAAATACTTTCTGAAAGCAAAATCATAGCTTCGTTATACATTTATGCAATGAGCAATGCAGTATATTTACAGGGTCTTCCTTGATGATATGCGAATATTTAAGGGTGTGAATCTATATGAAAAATTAATGTCAGTTTGTTTTATAAACTATTGTTAAAAAAAGTTTCCTTACAAGAACTCGGGGTGTTGAAGTTTTAGAGTAAAAAAAATAAAAACCGTTCTATTGTCTAACTTGCAAAATGATTATTACCTAATTTAATTGGAAAAATTAAACACATTAGGGGTAATGAACCACAATAACTGACAACATAAGCATAATATTCAAACCAACGAAATGATTACAAAAATTGTTAAATCGGATCAAAATAACCATATAAATACCGTATTTAAAATATTAACGGACTTCTTATATATACTAAGTGAAATATAAATCCGAACACCCAGTTTAAATGGTTTTATTTTAATAAAAGTTGGTGAATGTATTTATCTTACTGTAAATAACAAGTGAAAAAATTTTCAGCCTTATCAGTTTTACATTCCGGTTTGTATACTGCTTTTTTTTAATTCACTAACGCTCTAAAAATGAATATTTCAGCCGCAGTAAAGAATCAACGTTGGCGGATTTTGGTTCTTGACATCCTTTACGATCGGTTACGATGCCTAGAGTACGGAGACCTGTACGATTTCGTCAACTTAGTGAGTTTGATAGGGGCCGTATAGTGGGACTTCGGGAAGCTGGACTTTCTTTTCGGGCAATTGCAGTTAGAGTGCAAAGAAGTGTAGACACTGTGGTTAGGTGTTGTCAGGCATGGCTTCGAGAAGGCCGTACGCAAAGAGCAAGGGGCACTGGACGCCGCCGTAGAACAACAGACCGTGAAGATCGCCGCCTAAGATTATTGGCCTTAAGGGACCGTTTTTCCACTACCAGGTCTATTGCAAATGAACGGTTTGCAGAACACGGAAGACCTATTGGCATGCGAAGTGTTTACCGACGAATGAGAAGTTTTGGCTTGTTTTCATACCGGCCACACTGGGTCCTCCCTTTAACTCGAGAACACCGACGTAATCGCCTTGAGTGGTGCAGACAACGGTCACTCTGGGATCAGGAATGGAACAGTATTGTCTTTAGTGACGAGTCTCGATTTTGTTTAGGCATGCACGATGGTCGTGCCAGGGTTGGAAGGCGACGTGGTGAAAGGAGGAACCTACAGTTTTTTGTTGAAAGACATGTTCATCACACTGTTGGAGTTATGATTTGGGGTGCTATAGCTTATGGTTCCAGGTCACCTTTAATCTTCGTCAGAGGTAACATGAACGCGCAGCGTTATATCCACGAAGTTCTAGAACTCCATCTTTTACCCTATCTTGACAGCCTGACAGATCCAACTTTCCAACAAGATAATGCCCGACCACATGTTGCAAGAGTCACAATAGACTTCTTTCAACATAATGATGTCACATTGTTACTATGGCCACCAAGATCTCCCGACTTATCCTCAACTGAGCACGTGTGGGATATGATGGGTAGGAGATTGCTCAATTTGCAACGTCCTCCTCAGACTCTAGAAGCACTTCGAGAGGAGTTGGTGGTTGCCTGGAATGAGATACCACAGGAGGACATTGACCACCCGATCAGAAGCATTAATAGGCGCGTTGGAGAATGCGTAGCACATCAGGGTGCATCCACACATTATTAAAGCAGTGCAATCGTTTTGAAATTTTTATCATTCACTTATTATGCTTCATTAAGTACTTATACAAAATTTTATTAAAATAAAACCATTTAAACTGGGTGTTCGGATTTATATGTCACTTTGTATACTTTGATCCGATTCACCCACTAATCCGATTCTATCGGTCTACCATACATTAACCGTGGTCTACCTCTAAGATAATCGATGCTTTTCTCATATGTATAGGTGTAAACTTCATCACATGACCAACTTTAATGTCTGCAAAGTCTATGATCAGTATATCACCCAAGACGATTTCTTCTTGTAATCGGATCTCATTTATGTTCAATTGATGTCCAAAGCAGTCGTACGCATCGAAAGATTCAGGCTCTCCAGTTATCTTCACTATGTTTACCCTGTACAGCTCCCTGGTCATTTTTGGTAGTGGGCAATAATAGCTGTAAAATGAAGAACCGAATTTCATCTATGTGAAAATCAAATAAATAAATTATTTTCCTTAAAAGCATCTTATTACGCCACTCAGCGAGGAAGTATTTAATCGCAAAAAATTTCGAAAAAAATTAGACATGTTTTTTGGATCATATATGTCATGTATAATTTGGATGAAATTTTGTACAGCTTTACTACTATGCCACGGACAAAAAAGCCTTGTAGCTCTTGAGAATCGGTCCAATAGCGGCGAAGAAGGAGGCCGAAAATCATTTTTGAAAGACATTAAGGGGATTAGGATTAGGGGCAACGTTGCCAGATGGACTCTAACCACCGGTAGAGCAGGGAAGCAATGTCTATGGACTAATTGTATGGGCCTGTTTGACTGACTTGATCTGTTTAATGATTTTATGTACATATCTGTAACTAATTTTTTCCTCAGAGCTGATGGCGGCGTTGCGTAGGACGTGCAGAGTCAACCTACTTGACGACATTTTTTTCTCGTAACGTTAAAACATATAACGCTTTTATTTGAAAAGTTGAAACGAAGGGGCTTCATTATTGTTCAACAGTAACAATTAAAAAATGGCCTATTTCCAATGGGAGTTGAATTAGTTTCACTTTTTTAATCATTTTTCTGTTAACATTTAATGAAAACTTAAATTTTAAAATATCTTTTTTTGTCTGTGACGGGAAAAAAGTTTGACCTTTTATCTCTGTTGACAGGTAACACAATGTCACTTTATATGAAATTACTTTTTTACCCGGAAAAAAATGAGTACTTTTTTCCCGGATATTGAATACGCGGTTTCGTAAATTTTCCGCGATTTAACTGGCAATAATCTTTGTGGCTACTTCTACTGATACCGGTGACGACTAAGAAAACTCGGAATCAGACATTTTTTACTTTATAGTTTTAAAAATAACTTCTAAACAACCACTAAGTTCACAATTTTTAAATCAAATCACAAAATTAAATTGAACCGCTATTTGATTACCTTAAAAGTTTCCTTAGCAACACAGGTCTAATTGTCGCTATAAGTACAACACAGCCTACTGATTTCAAAATTCAAATTTCACATCGATAATTTTCTGACTTAAATATTGTAATAATATAGTTTTTCAATATTAAATCGACGTTTTTCCCGTCACAGAAAGAAATTGTGTATTATACTCGGGAAAAGTACTAGATTTTAAAATAATAAAATTACTGGAAGCTATTCGTGATTCATACTTACACTACTTTGACAATCTCCTTCATGTTCGGTAACTTTGGGTTTTTATTTTCGAAACATTCTGGCAGCAGTGACCGAATTGTGTAATACATGTCCAACTTTTCTTTTGTCCGTTCTACCAAAAACCTGTTGGCCACCAGGAAGGACTCTATAAGCTCATCACCTACAAAGAATATAAGATAATGCACATATCGTATATATACAAAAAGTAGGAAAATACTGGGCAAAATCCGCAAAAAGGAGGAAAGTGGATCCGAGCAGAAAATAGGATAGGTAACCCGAGCGATACGTATTTCTGCTGGTTGGCTTCATCAGGCCCGAAATGAATGCACATATGCAACCACAAAAGTAGATACACATGCCCACATATCCAGATACGGGTGCAACCTGAGGAAACGAAGATGGAGAGGGAAATAAATCGACACACGATATTCGCAACAAGAGGCAACCTATGCATTGTAGTATACAATGGCTAGAAGACCTCGAATTTTCAAGGAGACATCTACCCACAACCAGGCGGCCGGTTATAGCCACTTGCTGTGGTACTTCAAACCCAAAGAATCTGCAAAGAGAAAACGATCATGCGGAGAGAGGTATATAACAAGAAGTAGGGAAATAATGGGCGAAATCCGCAAAAAGGAGTAATCCCGTATCGCTCGGGTTACCTATCCTATTTTCCGCTCGAATCCGCTGTACTCCTTTTTGCGGATTTAGCCAATTATTTTCCTCATTTTTGTTATATTCCTTTCTCCGCATGATCATTTTCTCTTTATATAATTATATATATATAATGAAAATTAAAGCTTCCGCCTTTTGTTGGGTACTTCGACAAAATTTACGCAAGGAGGACTCTTTATACTTTTTTAATCTCTCTAGCTTTCAATGGTCTTTACCATTATCATCAGGAACTGCAATTACATTGATAAAAGTAGCAACAATTATGTGAAATGAATTTAAATTAACATACAGTAGTATGTGAGGATGTTGCTAAATGTTATTTACGTTAAGGATGAGGGAAACACCCAGTAACATGGTGAAAGCTGGACACATGGTACAATGGTCAAAATTATACAAACTACACACATCTGTATGACAAGAACAAATTAAAAACAGGTTAAAAATATTTAAAAGGAAAGTTAAGCATTACATCGTGAATCGATGATTGCACAAAATGGTGGGCATAGAATCATGAGTAAGATGAACCTTTTGACAGATTGCCGAAGGTTAGCAGTGTCCGTGTAGAATGATGGAACGAAAATTCTTTTGTAAGGCGTCTGGTCGGGTTGACAAGTTCTTACCCAACATATCTTGAAAATCACACCATCTGAAGTGATTTGGCAACGTAGCACACGCCTTACAAAAGAATTTTTGTTCCATCATTCTACACGGACACTGCTAACCTTCGGCCATCTGTCAAAAGGTTCATCTTTCTCATGATTCTATGCCCACCATTTTGTGCAATCATCAAGTGGCTTCACGATGTAATGCTTAACTTTCGTTTTAAATATTTTTAAACTGTTTTTAATCTGTTCTTGTCATACAGCTGTGTGTAGTTTGTATAATTTTGATCATTGTACCACGTATCCAGCTTTCACCATGTTACTGGGTGTTTCCCTCATCCTTAACGTAAATAACATTTAGCAACATCCTCACATACTAGTGTAAGTTAATTTAAATCCATTTTCCACAATTGTTGCTACTTTTATCAATGTAATTGCAGCTCCTGATGATGATGGCAAAGACCATTGAAAGCTAGACAGGTTAAAAAAGTATAAAGAGTCCTCCTTGCTTAAAGTTTGTCGAAGTACCCAACAAACGACAGTAACCACGTCTCAAGTTATATATATATATAATTAGTCCAACTAACTCGCCTTGTTTTGATTTCCCGATAATTGAAACACCTATTACACAGTATACAGGTAGACTTATTTCAGAAATGGGCAGTAGTTGAAAATGAATATTGCAAAAGGAGCAAGAATGTGCAATAGCGCACAGACGCTGTGCAGCTTTAATATAATTATAAGCAAGCCTAAATTGTTTAGGTCTTGCTTATCAGCGCAAGAAAGTCCTGTTTTAAAATTCTCTCGCCGTTGTAGTAACAGATGTAATAATCGCCAATTGTACTTGCTCGCAGAATTCGTCATAGTGCAATAGGTTAAGTACGGCGTAACAATCAATGTGGCCATTCACGGGATAATTTTGAAATAATAATTATGGAATAACAGATTGATGAGACAGTCATCACAAATCAACTTGGCACTTCAAAGTGTTTTGTTAGATACCTTTCATCGGTAAATTAAACTCTGGCAAGGCAAGGCAATTTCAAGATTTTCCCGAATTTTAGAACCCGATATTTTGGGATCAACGATTTGTCTGATTGTCCAGAAACAGGTTATAATATCCCACTATTGGCTAGAAGCAATTTGTTTTAAACTCAAAGATTAGGGAAAGGGGTACCTGAAAGAGAATAAGGCCACTGGTTCCGAAGTGCAAAAATTATACTTTTATTTCTAATTATAAAGTAATATTGCACTCACACTCATTCAATACATTTACATATGTAAATAAGTTCATCATAACATTAAACAAACTAGGATATTTTCAAATACTACAAAATCTGCACCAACAGGAGGCTCCACTTCTTATACATTTATGAATTATATGGGGTAATGTCCAAAACGGACGCAGGAAAGTAAACGCATATTAAAACAGGAAAGATTGGTATTCAAATCAAGTTGGGTACTTTATTTTGAAGGTTCGTTTATACCATTTATGTATGAAAAATAATATCGCTCAAATGTTCACCACGACTGGATTTACAGACGTCCACGCGATGGTCGAAATTTTCAATGACATTTTGCAACATGGTCGGTTCTATGGCATTTATCTCGGCAATGATGTTGTTTTTGAGTTCTTGGAGGGTGGCTGGTTTGTTGACGTAGACTTTGCTTTTCAAATAACCCCATAAAAAGAAGTCCAAGGGAGTCAAATCGCACGATCTTGGTGGCCATGGCACATTTCCTCTGCGCGAAATCACGCGATCACCGAAGAAGGACTGCAATCGATGGATTGACGTTGGTTGAGTGGCATGTTGCACCGTCCTGTTGGATATCAACATCGTCCATATCCATTCCTTCAAGTTGCGGCAAAAAATAGTCCTCTATCATCACGTAATATCGCTCATAATTGACGGTAACGGCGTCCCCGGCCGCTTTTTCGAAAAAGTAAGGTCCGATGATGCCTTTTGACCACAATGCACACCACACAGTCACTTTTTGAGGATGCATCGGCTGCTCTTGATACTCACGGGGATTTTCGTTCGCCCAGATGCTGCAGTTTTGCTTGTTTACCGTCCCATTCAAAGTGAAATGCGAAATTGGCATCAATTTGGCGGTGTTCAAGGAGCCAATCTGAGAACGTTCGGCGCGAAAAATGGTCGGCCCGACGCAGCTCTTCCGTCAATTGGATCTTGTAGGCGTGTACATTCAAATCCTTGTGGAGAATGCGGAGCAAACTGGTTTTCGAAATGCCCAATTCTTGAGATCGACGCGTTGTTGGTTGTTTCGGATCGTCTCTCACACTCTCCTTCACAACAGCAATATTTTCCGGTGTGCGAACGCTCCTTGGCCGGCCAGAGCCTGGCAGATTTGCCACAGAACCTGTCGCCTCGAACTTACGCACCAGACGACCGACGGTTATTTCGTTTGGGCGGTTGTTGCGACCGAAATGTTCACGAAGCGCGCGAAACGTGTTTTTTTATTTTTGCACCATTTTTGTAGTGCTCTTGAATAACTTTATTGCGGTCTTCAATCGAATACGACTCCATAGCGATCAATGGTAAACATTCAACTAACAAAATGACATGTCGGTGACAGAAAACAAAGATGGCGTCTATGTCAAATTGACGTTTACTTTTCTGCGTCCCTATTGGACAACCCTTTAGAATATACACACTGAACCTATCAGACCATTTAATTAGTTTCGTTAATGGTGAAACACCACTGACGCAAGTCATTTATCGTTGAACGACACAAGAACATCACAAAAAATGCATCGATATCCAGTTTAATAGAAGGCATAGCTGAGAGGATTGGGTGCATGGACCTGAATATGGCTGCATAAATAAATTTTCAAAGTTCTTCCAATATTATACGGCTGGTTTTCAACCTGTTTCTTCGAAGAACCAACGGTTTTTTACAGTTTCACAACTATTTTCCTTAGTACTGTACAGCAGTGTATTTTATATTCTTATAATTTAGAGCAGCCTTTTAGCAAAAGCCAAAAAAAACAGCGCATAAAACAGTATTCTATTCTAGTGTATAACCTCAAATAAAGCAACTTTGAAGTTCTAAAAAATAGCAGGCAGAGGGTTCCTTTAAGAAAAAATGATATTTTCGTAAATGTTACATCCTAATCTTTCATTTTAAAATAAGAAACGAAATATTTGCGATATGCGCTAAAGTATAGTCTTGCCACGAACACACTGATATGTTGTTAGTACTTGGTTTCTGCGAAGGTAATTAGAAGAAGCTGTTCTAAGAGGATCCAGGTATTAGGACTCGCAGACTAGAACGTGAAAAGTGAGTTCAAAAGGTACTGTTAACTGGGTATCAAATGAACGACTCATTCATTCTTTTCACGCTCAGCCTTTCCAGGAATTGTTACCTGCTGACCAGCACTCACGTTTGAGATTTGTACAAAATGTATCAGAACGCACAGCAGCTGATTTCACTAGAAAATTTTATTTACATGTTTTAAGTGACATATACATCCGAACACCCAGTTTAAATGGTTTTATTTTAATAAAAGTTGGTGAATGTATTTATCTTACTGTAAATAACAAGTGAAAAAATTTTCAGCCTTATCAGTTGGACAATCCGGTTTTCATACTGCTTTTTTTTAATTCACTAACGCTCTAAAAATGAATATTTCAGCCGCAGTAAAGAATCAACGTTGGCGGATTTTGGTTCTTGACATCCTTTACGATCGGTTACGATGCCTAGAGTACGGAGACCTGTCCGATTTCGTCAACTTAGTGAGTTTGATAGGGGCCTCTAGTGGGACTTCGGGAAGCTGGACTTTCTTTTCGGGCAATTGCAGTTAGAGTGCAAAGAAGTGTAGACACTGTGGTTAGTGGTTGTCAGGCATGGCTTCGAGAAGGCCGTACGCAAAGAGCAAGGGGCACTGGACGCCGCCGTAGAACAACAGACCGTGAAGATCGTCGCCTAAGATTATTGGCCTTAAGGTACCGTTTCTCCACTACCAGGTCCATTGCAAATGAATGGTTTGCAGAACACGGAAGACCTATTGGCATGCGATGTGTTTACCGACGAATGAGAAGTTTTGGCTTGTTTTCATACCGGCCACACTGGGTCCTCCCTTTAACTCGAGAACACCGACGTAATCGCCTTGAGTGGTGCAGACAACGGTCACCCTGGGATCAGGAATGGAACAGTATTGTCTTTAGTGACGAGTCTCGATTTTGTTTAGGCATGCACGATGGTCGTGCCAGGGTTAGAAGGCGACGTGGTGAAAGGAGGAATCCACAGTTTTTTGTTGAAAGACATGTTCATCACACTGTTGGAGTTATGGTTTGGGGTGCTATAGCTTATGGTTCCAGGTCACCTTTAATCTTCATCAGAGGTAACATGAACGCGCAGCGTTATATCCACGAAGTTCTAGAACCCCATCTTTTACCCTATCTTGACATCCTGGCAGATCCAACTTTCCAACAAGATAATGCCCGACCACATGTTGCAAGAGTCACAATAGACTTCTTTCAACATAATGATGTCACATTGTTACCATGGCCACCAAAATCTCCCGACTTATCCCCAATTGAGCACGTGTGGGATATAATGGGTAGGAGATTGCTCAATTTGCAACGTCCTCCTCAGACTCTAGACATTGACCACCTGATCAGAAGCATGCCTAGGCGCGTTGGAGAATGCGTAGCACATCAGGGTGCATCCACACATTATTAAAGGTCAAAGGGCTTTAAAGCAGTGCGATCATTTTGAAATCTTTATCATTTACTTATTATGCTTCATTAAGTACTTATACAAAATTTTATTAAAATAAAACCATTTAAACTGTGTGTTCGGATTTATATGTCACTTAGTATAGATTTGCATGATGCACATGTTTACGCTGAAGAAAATCGACATTCAGTTTCAGAAAGGTATTTTCATTAGGAATCTAAAATTAAGGTTTTTTCAGTTGGTCCAAATAGGGTGTCTGATAAATTGAACGGGGATAGTTATCTTCGTTTTCTACAATTTGTTTTACCTGAATTATTAGATGAACTGCCTGTGAATGTAAGAAGAGACATGTTTTCTTTTATGATGGTACTCCACTTCACTTTCCCGGAAATAAAAAGGTATGTTAAAAAAAGTTCAGATTCGTCTGAAAAGTTGCCATAAAATTCTACAATAATTTATGTAGAGGTGAGAGTAGTTTTCACCCTTCTCGGGCCCTTTAGAGTTTTTCGTAAAATTCAGATATTAACGGGTGATTTTTTAAGAGGTATAGGATTTGATTTTCAAAAAAAACACAAAAAATTTGAAAAAGCGATTAAATCTTTATTTGAGTCGATAGAACGGTCGATATAATTTAATGTTTAAAGATTATTTCATGTAAATGTTGGCCGCGGCTCCGCTTTAGATGGCCCATGCGCATGGTCCAATTTTGTAGATACTAGCAAAAAATCACCCATTAGAACGTCTAGGAAAACATATGAATCCCGAATTTCATTCATATTGGAATACCTGTTCTAAAAATATATTAAAAATGTGTTTTAAAATGAAAACGTTGAAGCCAGCTAAAGGAAAAACGAAGCACATTTGCAGATGGGTGAGTTATATCCAATAGACTAATTCTGAGTCTAAAAATACTAAATATTGGGACACCACGTATATGCAAACAATCCAAAATCTGATGGCTCGAACTTACAAGGAACTTCCGGCAAGTGCGACTGGCTCTCACACCATTTTCTGATGACCTCCGTCGAATCTTTGGTGTCTCTCCGACTTTTCCCAAGCTGACCGATCGCGCATTCCACTTCGAGCTCGCGACAATCGCTCGACGTCATTGCGCCAATGCTGCATCGCAAACGACTAACATCCGGATAACTAGATTGCAATTGTTAGTTTCGCGATTACAGATAATGACATAAGACTTGCATATAATTGAGTGTTGCTGGGCACACGAAAACGTGCGTTCAGATAACGATGAGCCGCTCAGTGCTGATGTATAGTGGACCTTGAACAACTTGTAATTTATTATACCCAACATTGCACTTATAAATGATGTTTAATATGTTCATTTCTGTATTCGCCCATTTTTCAGTACGAACATTTTTGTTCCAGTACCAGGGCCATCAAAGAAGGTCTCTTCCATTTTTTTGAGAAAATGCTTAGTTTTTGAGCTGCAGCTTGCTGATAGCTTGTTGGCAGAGGGCTTGCGGGGGCAAGGGCACGCGTACGTATTTAACCAGCCACCGCACAGTTGACGCGGTGGGATCTCGAAAACGGTAGGACATACAAGGCCAGTGAAATGAGCGTATTGAGATAAAAAAGTCATACTTAATTTCAAATTGCAGAGTACCTATAGTTGGATACACGGAAAACCCCTAATTTTGCAAACATCATTTTATTTCTCATCTTATTTGGGATGGAATGTAGCTTAAAATTGGCGTTTTTCCCCTCTGCAAGGTGGCGAAAATAGAATTTCAATCCGACGTTTTTCCTCTTGCTCGCCATCTTATGATCACTATAAATAGGTAAATAATATAACGTCATCTAGACTACTTCCACGACCCAGGCTGGAAAACACTAGAACATTTCTCGACGCGTCGATTGGTGCATAAATACACGACTAGATGGCGAGACTCAGTGGAGCCAGTGGACAGCGAGCGCTAAATTAAGATGGAATTGCTCGCCATCTTATGATCACTATAGATAGGTAAATAATATAGGTAATATAACGCCATCTAGACTACTTCCACGACCCAGGCTGGAAAACACTAGAACATTTCTCGACGCGTCGATTGGTGCATAAATACACGACTAGATGGCGAGACTCAGTTGACGCTAAATTAAGATGGAATAATAATCCAGTCGACATAGTTACAAATTGTTATAAACTAGTTGCAAGTGTTTTAAATTAGTGTTAAGGTAATAAATTAGTCTTTGGACAGTAAAAACGATGTTTCCGTTACAGTAAGTATTTGTCCGTCTTTACGCTTAAGCTATTAGCCTAAATAACTCAAATGTACTTAGTTCAAATCTGTAAGGAAACGATTTATTAATCTACATTCTTTTCTCCCTCTTTCCTCTTTTCTTTAGTTTGGCATAAGGCATAAAAACACATAAACGCCTTGCATTTTCAATAGAATATTAACGTTTGTATCGACTTCTCAACAAGTCAAATGTTTTGGGACAAATTCCCAACTAGGAGTGTGTTCAAAAAATTTCGCAAAGTTGGGGTTTTCCTTTTCAGAAACAGCTAACCTTGAAATAACAAAGGTAATGTCTAGTGAAACGAGGGCGACCAAGTAAAAAAAAATAAAGGAAAAAGTACTCACTCTCCAGTTGACGAGAAGGGCTAAGTACGTCTCTGCCCGAAATCATACCGCTCCAACAGAAAATGAAATCAGCTGATGCGCTACCGAGCAGACGCAGAAACCACATTGATTGTCTTACACTTAATGGCACATCTTCTAACAAGGAAGGCAAAATGTTGCGTAAAAAGTCTAGGTATTGCATCCCGTCCAATCGATTTGGGAGAATAAATGGTCCAATGAGCATACCGTTCACCATGCCAGCCCAAACATTCACCGAAAATATTTGTTGAAAATGTGCCCGACGGACAGCGTGCATCTACTGACCAAACATGAGTGTTGCGAAAGTTATTCACCCCATTACGCGTGAACGTAGATTCGTCTGTCACCAATATGCTCTTCAAAAAGTCCGGATTATTGTCATGTTGATGCAACAACCACAAGAAAAACCGCACACTTGCTGGAAAATCGTCAGGTTGAAGGGCTTGTACACGTTGGACGTGAACCGGATACAGCCCCTCTTCACGCTGCGTTTGCCACACTTTAGTTTTTGATACTTGCACTTCTCTAGCCACGTCTCTAGTGCTTGTTGTTTTTTGAAACGCAATCGATTATACGGGTTCGTTTACCTCTACACGCGTGACCGTAACCGTCGGTTGAAGGTTGCATACTGACCTGACACACTGACCCCGACCCAGTTCTGTCGTCGGGTTGAGCTAGTGTCCTAGTACCACTCGGGGATATCGCGAGTCGCGGCTACAGGACGGTATTCAGATATTTTTGATGTTGCAGAGCCCTTTATCTCGGTTCCCGTAAGACATTGGTGTATATGGTACTAAGAAAAATTGCTTATGTTTTCAAGATCTACACGTCGTGTAAAGGAAAACCCCAACTTTGCGGACACCCTGTATAAACGAAAAAATATTTTAATAGGTGAAAAAGGTTTCTATCTCGAAATCAGAATCGACAAGTTCATGCGAATTTTTTCAAGTGCTGAAAGAGTTAGTCACACAGAAATGACTGATTTGTAACCAATACAATTATTGTTCGCAAAATATAGCTGCAAAATGCAAGTAAATGAGAAACATATATACTAACTCCACCAGTACAAATCGAACAGTTTATTTCTGCACACTTCTCTCGCAAAACACAAAAAAACTCGTTGGAACGATCTTATCAGTAAACAGAAATAGTCTCACAAAAAATGTTTGACGTTGATTGGTCAACCAATACGATTATCGTCTGCAGAATATTCTACGGACGCTCTGCTAGGTGTATGGCAGGTAGGCGGGTCTTTGGTGGTTTTTTATCTCTCACAGGATATCATTGGTTATTTAGAATTCTCTTTGGTTGCTAACATCTATAAAACGTTGCGAAGGGATTTTCAAAATACGCTGACAGTGGAGATTTTGGTACCGCGAGAGTTGATTATCAATTAATATGTGTACAATTTTTTTCTTCTTTCCGTATTGTGGTTTATAGGTGATGCTGAGAAGCTGGACATATATTTACATTCGTATCTATATGTACACCATTTTCAAAATGTATATCGAATGCACTAAGTTTCCTCTAAAACGATCCCTATTTAACCCTTGCTGTAGATATAACAGGAGCTGAGATCGCTGTATAGAGAAGCGAATTTGGGACACACTGTATATCTAGTTAATCAAATAACAAAGGTACTTACTAGGTTTTTCCGGTAAATGCTTCTGCAATCTGCACCACTTCTTCACTGCCACAATGTAATCACATGCATCCTTCTCAGTTTTGCGTAAAAAGAACCTGACTCTATCTCGATCCACTTCTAAAATTTGCAATTCTTCGTTCATTTTGTAAGTATGCTTGTAAAACTACTTGCGTACTTTCGCATCAAATGAGTCAAAGTCTAACATTAAGCGTGATATTATCTTAGAAACCAAACAGTTTGAATAAAAATATTATCCGAATACTGATTATAAAGGCTATTTTAGTTTGTAAATATAATTAATTACTATAAATATCTGCTGTACATTTATCGTGAGATGCAGTTCATAACAAATACTTCAAGCATATAAGGTTTAATGATAGAGCGTAAATGCCTACCTAGGTCTATCACTTTTCTCACCACCAGCATAATGTAAAATTATATCATCAATAGTCACGAATGGGATCAATGGGATCATCATTATATAGACAACAGTCAAAAATGCCCCATAAAACATTTGGCAGGACAAAAAGCTTCCACGTAGTGCTTAGGAATACAAAGAAGTTGTATGCGGCCATATTTGCAACCAATAATAATTATAATAAAAGATCTTTATTTTGATACAAATGTACATCACATCTTATTCCTTATAGGCAGTCGTTTCTACAATTGTAGGACGCCTTTATGGCCTGCTTGATTTTCATAGTTTTCTACTGTTTCGTGTCAGTTCTCTATTTGTTAATGTTTTTTTATTTATATCATCTGTTATAAGATCTGAAATTTACAACAATTCAAATTCCAAATTCCTTTATTTTCAAAGATATATAACCTGCGTCTTTATACAAAGTGTAACGCGTTTCCTGGAAACAATTGAGCATTCATTGTATAAGACATGCGAAATAGGACGAATGCATTTATCAAAAAAATATAAAGCAAGATTTTGTAAAAAAAAATTGAAAATTAGTGCCCTGTTTTAATCACTCTTTTCATATTACCGAATTTCTCATTTGTTATACATATATAAGAAATGCCAATTGTTTACAAAACATTAAGTACATATTTTTATAAAATAACTGATACATATGATTTAAATAGTAATAGACGGAGATACAGGAGTTCAAACTTGTCAAACACTGCAAAAAGTGAATAAAGTTTAGTACAAAAAAAAAACTTTGTATAGCGATTTGATTGGCGGAGGAGTTTAGACAAAAAAACCAAAAAGCTCCAGATCATCAAATTTCATTTTTGTGCGTTTTTCAACTTCCTGATCATTAGAAAATATATTTTGGAAAAGACAAGGTTTTAAAAGATTCCGAGAATCTTATTTTCATGATGGCGATATAGATAAGTTTGACAAACTCCTTTATCGTCAAAGATATACAACCTGCGTTTTTGTAGAAAGTGTAACGCGTATCCTTGAAACAATTGAGCATTCAGTGTATAAGAAATGTGAAATAGGACTAATGCATTTATAAAAAAAACGTAAACCAAGATTTTGTAAAAAAAATCAAAAAAAAATTTGAAAATTAGTGCCCTGTTTTAATCACTCTTTTCATATTTCCGAATCTCTCATTTGTTATACATATATAAGAAATGCATAAAATTGTTTACAAAACATTACATATTTTTGTAAAATAACTGATACATATGATTTAAATAGTAATAGACGGAGATACAGGAGTTCAAACTTGTCAAACACTGCAAAAAGTGAATAAAGTTGAGTACAAAAAAAAACTTTGTATACTGTACTCTGCATCAATGGCGAGTGTCGAATTTGAAACACCCTGTATAGCGATTTGATTGGCGGAGGAGTTTAGACAAAAGAAAAATGGGAAAGTTCCAGATCATTAAATTTCATTTTTGTTCGTTTCTCAACTTCCTGATCATTAGAGTATATATTTTGGAAAAGACAAGGTTTTAAAAGATTCCGAGAATCTTATTCTCATGATGGAGATATAGATAAGTTTGAAAAACTCCTTTATTTTCAAAGATATACAACTTGCGTTTTTGTAGAAAGTGTAACGCATTTCCTGGAAACAATTGAGCATTCATTGTATAAGAAATGCGAAATAGGACTGCTGCATTTATCAAAAAAATGTAAACCAAGATTTTGTAAAAAAAATCAAAAAAAAAATTGAAAATTACTGTTTTAATCACTCTTTTCGTATTTCCGAATTTCTCATTTGTTATACATATATAAGAAATGCAAAAAATTGTTTACAAAACATTACATATTTTTTAAAAAATCACTGATACATATGATTTAAATAGTAATAGACGGAGATACAGGAGTTCAAACTTGTAAAACACTGCAAAAAGTGAATAAAGTTGAGTACAAAAAAAAACTTTGTATACTGTATCAGTGGTGAGTGTCAAATTTGAAACACCCTGTATAGCGGTTTGATTGGCGGAGGAGTTTAGACAAAAGAAAAACGGGAAAGTTCCAGATCATTAAATTTTATTTTTGTGCGTTTTTCAACTTCCTGATCATTAGAACATATATTTTGGAAAAGACAAGGTTTTAAAAGATTCCGAGAATCTTATTTTCATGATGGAGATATAGATAAATTTGACAAACTCCTTTATAAGGTTGTATATACAACCTGCGTTTTTGTAGAAAGTGTAACGCGTTTCCTGGAAACAATTGAGCATTCTATATATAAGAAATTTAAATGTAAACAAAGATTTTGTAAAAAAATAAAAAAAAAAATTGAAAATTAGTGCCCTGTTTTAATCACTCTTTTCGTATTTCCGAATTTCTCATTTGTTATACATATATAAGAAATGCAAAAAATTGTTTACAAACAATGCAAAAAGTGAATGAACCTGAGTAAAAAAACTTTGTATACTGCGTGTTCTTCAAGTGAATAGGGAAATCAAAAACACAAAATTTTATACAACATATATTTTATGGTAAATTATTTATCTACACCTTCTTCAGAAGTTTCTCTTTTCCTCTTGCCTTGATTTCTGACACTCTTTTGTATTTTCTGTTCACCAACCATTATAGTAGCTCGACAGCCAGGTCCCCAGTGTGGAGTAGGATTTTCTTGGAACCGCAAAAAGCCCTTTTTTCTTGATTCGGGATTAGCATGCGGATGTATTTTGAACGAGTAATCCTTCTCAGGTTCTATGCTAAGGATATTGAATGCTGGAGTTCCTTGTATAAGTCTCTTCTGTGCCACAGGGTGTGTCCTGGCCCAACATCTCATTATATCCCACACAACTTTCTTGGGTGCATCAGTTTTTATAGATGTTTTGTTCATATGAGTGAATGATACATGATAACCTGCATTTAACAAGGCAGATCGTAATGCCATCATGGAAGGCATCTCAACATGTAAGGTTCCACTCAGCTTGTCTAATGTATAGTAAAGTGGTACGTCTACCAGTTCTTCCAATACTACATTCAAAATCCCTTCTATTCGTTTATAAGTTTTTAATGAACTGGGTACATTATCTAATACTTTCTTCACAAATTCAGGTGAATGTATAGGTGCTGACCATATTGGTCCACCAATATGATGAGGATGTTTGCATTGTTCGCAGTGTTTTGATACAAGAGGTCCAGTGGGGATACTGAATTTGTGATTGCTTTTATCACTTTTCACTGTCACAAGCAGTTGCAAAGTAAAACTATCACAGCCTGTACAGTGGTAGATATGAGACAGTTTCGTTGCACTGAATTTACACTTCTGAGCACCAGAAAACACCCTCACAAACACTCTTATATAAAAGTCTGCTGAGAGTGACAGCAAAGGGACGATGTATCGGCTGTACCTATTTGCATGCAATTCGATACACTGTAGTAATATCCTGACAGCCATCTCATGGCATGACTTTATTTTGATGGGGATTGCTCCGTATTTGCTGTAACATGTCTCAGGTGAGTTTCCACATAGAATAGCCATATCGGTAGCTGTAATCAGTAATAAACCACCTTCTTTTACTGCCTGCACTGTCGAATCTAAGAACTGTGATGGACAGCCATAAGGATCCAAGTCAATGATGTCAAACTGTTCATTTTTATGACGATGTTGATACATTAACATTGATGCATCACAGTGGCGTGCGGACACAATCTGCTCTACATTGTTCTTGATAACATTTTGTTTTATATCTTCAACAGCTGTCAGTGAAATGTCATTTGCAATCACTTTTGCAACACCAGGGATTTCTTTAGCATACCTTATACTCCTCAGACCTGTTGCTGATAGTGCTTCTAAAATAGTAACTTTATAGTCTTCAGTTCCGGCTTCACCCTTTTTCGTAATTTTGATCTCTTGCTTGTAGTCGTGTATGAAACTTGATATCACAGCGATACTGAGATCTCTATTGAACTCTTGGACAGGATTATAGAATACTGCTCCTTTTGTCCATATTGTAGCTAAGCCTTCAGAGATCTCTTTAACGTCAGCTCCATTAGAATTGGTAGGTTTTTCATCTTTTTCCATCTTTATAATTCTGAATGGATGCAAAACCTTATCAGTGGACGACAACTAAACGTTGAACGAAATTCAGAAACACTTCGCATTAAAAATTATGAAAATCAAGCCACCAAAATAGTTAACATAACCACAAAAACCACACGTGAAAGAAATAACAGCTGCTTATGACAGTTTAGGAATGTCATAAAATATAGAGGGCTGATCACATAAATGCGAAACTTATTTGAGCAACAGTAATCAAATCCAAGCGAATAACCAAAATTTCTGTGTTATGTGCCGCGGTTATAATATGGTTCAAGATGACACCCGGGTTGATGACGTCAGTTACACGAATCGCTTGAACGCGTTGGTTTTAACCGCGGTTTTGTTGCAAGTTGTTTATTTTAGAAAAGCGCGTATATAAGCTCTAATTATTTTTATTATCATTTAATAATCGGTGCTCTTTCGTCTACAACTGTATATGGAAAGTTTAAATAAGAAACCTTTCATAATATTCATGGGAGAAATGTTTTTTCAGATTTTTTTTTTTAATGATGGAACCATGGCTTTGTAGCTATGATAACTTTCAATTCTCTAAATTTTTCCGCATGTCAAAGAAAACATTTATTGATTCAGCAGAAATGATGATAAAAGGAATTAGCAAAACCGTATACAGGTGGATATCATCTAGTGAGTTTATATGGCCATATTTTAATATTCTTGTGGTATATGGCTACACAGGATATTTTGTTAAGCATAGGAACTACATTTAAAGTGTCCCCAACAACTGTAATGAGTATAACTAATAAGGTGCTCCACTTTATGGTAAAACTGAAGTCAGCCTGTATCATTTTTCTCAAAAATGAAGCTGAAGTACAATAACAATATCCAATACCCGGCAAAATTCTAACTTGTCACATTTCAAATAATAACCAGAAATATAAAACTACTCTTGAGTTGGGTAAATACCATAATTTTGCGGTAATAACTATGACATATAACAGCTGATTCGTGACGTCACGGATCTTATAACCAAACTGATAACTACACTCGCTTGAACGGATTGGTAAATACCAACCCAAAATGGTAAATACCATTTCCATTTGGTTATCCGCTTGAATTTGATTAGTGTCACTTGAGTGGTCATTAAAACGTTATATGTCAAAAATAACGTAATGAAAGGCTTAACGACTCCTTATTTTTTTTCAGGTCAAGGATGTTCTTCCGGATCAAAGAACTGAATATAAGTTTGGAAGTCCAGAAAAATCGTAAAAGGAAATGGAAAAAAATTGTTGCTTAGGCTAAGTCAGTTTAATTTATCGTTATATCACCACCTTACTGCAAAAAGAAGATAACTCCATTTTTCTGCTTTTCGATTTGCGTTCATTTTCACACTTAAATGTACTTAGGATGTTCTATGGAATAAGGTTAAATGTAGTACAGTATTATGAAATAAATATGTTAATCCTGCTCCACAGAACATACTAAAATATAGGTAATGTAGAAAAATGGAGATATCTTGTTTTTACAGTGAAGAGACGATACGCTCTATTGTGGAGCTAGAAGCCGTTTGAGCAATAGCCTGTGAAATAGGAATTACAGAGTTGAAATCTTTTATTAAAATCCACCATTTGTTTTGTATAAAATTTTACTGTAGCTAGTGTCCAACGACACCTCATATGTGAAGATCCGTCCAGCCGTTTGGCCTGTAGGTGAAAATATGCACGTTATTCATATCAACTCAAATGATAATCACCCTCCGCGTCACGTCATGCGCGCCGACGGAGCATACGGCCCTGCGGTACGGCCGGGTAGTACAGCTACGCCCCTTTCCAGCCCCCCACTCCACGCGTCTGCTCCCGAAGCGACTCGATATTTACATTGACGGTAGCAGACGCGCGAAGTGGGAGCTGGAGAGGGGCGTGGCTGTACTACCCGCCACAGCGAGGTACAGCGCTCACACGCTTCAGTCTCTCGGCAACCGCCGGCTCAGCGGAATGTCTTCGCGTTCGCAGCTCGGTACGGAGCTCTATTCGGTTTAGCTACCTTTTTTTAGTAGTGGTGATCACTATAGGGTTCTCGATTGTGTCAGTGGTGCTTTAGTGCTGTGACGAAGGTGTCAAGTGTCTCCAAAGTGGAAATTAGGTCTACTTCCAACTCTTCTGAGGGAAACAGGATACATGTGCAAACTAGGTGAGGCTTGCATACTCATCTACTTGTGTGTTAGGGTTGACATCCTATGATTTTTAAATAAATTGCGTACACTGAGAGATTAGTTACATACTGACTGCCAAACTCACTGTTTAAAGAGTGACATCTCTGAAACCCAAGATGTGGCGAATGCCTTACAACATTGGACACACGGCCATTCGCCACATCGTGTGGTAGAGCGCTGACGGATTGCATGTGTCCAACGTTCGCCACATGGCACGTTCGGGCTTTTGATGGTAAATTTGACCGGCGTCAAAGGACGTTGGAAGCATGATTCGTTACTCTCTCACACGAGATGTCATGTGTTTGATGGTTTTAGGTTAGAACCAGTAGCGGCGACAAACATTATTTATTTGTTTGCTGTGATTATGGAGAAGTAGCGGTATGTGGGAAGTATTTTTTTTGAATGAATACCTCTTCATAATAATGTATGTTCCTAAACTAACTTTTGAGGAGAATGGATTAAATCAGTATACGAGTACATACAAACCATAGGCTGCCATAACAACACTTTTTTCATGTTGCTAATATTTTGTACGTTTCGCAGGTGAGTTATGCCTGGCCTAAGGATTTGTATTTTAGTAAAGTATGAATAATTAAGTGCTTATAGTTGTTTCACTATAATGTCCTGTTGCAATGCGAGACTAGTTGAGAAATATATTGACTTAAGTTTTGGTCGCTGAGGACAGATCTGAAATTGGTTTGGTTCGCTCAAAAAAATTTATTCCTCGTTGATTTTGTATAATTTTTCCTTCAGTTGTAAAGGTTCAAGCGCGACATTGACACCGATAATAGACGTTGGCACTACCATGCGTCGAACGTCTGAGACTGAAAAGTTCACCCCATCGTGTAGGAGACACTTGCCAATTGATAGATGTGGAACGTTGGAGGCATCGTGTGGGACCCGCATAACTTGAGCTTAGCGCTGCTCACGGCTATGATAAAGCACTCTATCATCAAATCCAAGCGAATAACCAAAATTTCTGTGTTATGTGCCGCGGTTATAATATGGTCCAAGATGACACACGGCTTGATGACGTCAGTTACACGAATCGCTTGAACGTGTTGGTTTTAACCGCGGTTTTGTTGCAAGTTGTTTATTTTAGAAAAGCGCGTATATAATCTCTGATTATTTTTATTATCATTTAATAATCGGTGCTTTTTCGTCTACAACTGTATATGGAAAGTTTAAATAAGAAACCTGTCATAATATTCATGAGAGAAATGTTTTTTTCAGATTTTTTTTTTAATGATGGAACCATGGCTTTGTAGCTATGATAACTTTCAATTCTCTAAATTTTTCCGCATGTCAAAGAAAACATTTATTGATTCAGCAGAAATGATGAAAAAAGAAATTTAATATTCTTGTGGTATATGGCTACACAGGATACTTTGTTAAGCATAGGAACTACATTTAAAGTGTCCCCAACAACCGTAATGAGTATAACTAATAAGGTGCTCCACTTTATGGTAAAACTGAAGTCAGCCTGTATCATTTTTCTCAAAAATGAAGCTGAAGTACAATAACAATATCCAATACCCGTCAAAATTCTAACTTGTCACATTTCAAATAATAACCAGAAATATAAAACTACTCTTGAGTTGGGTAAATACCACAATTTCGCGGTGATAACTATGACATATAACAGCTGATTCGTGACGTCACGGATCTTATAACCAAACTGATAACTACACTCGCTTGAACGGATTGGTAAATACCAACCCAAAATGGTAAATACCATTTCCATTTGGTTATCCGCTTGAATTTGATTTATGTTTTTTGACTCATTGTTGAAGGTTCGTTGTGTGTTGTCAATTGTCAAAAATCATAAGACGTCAACGTCGGATTTTAAAAAGTTTCATGTTTTGCTATTTATAAGTTGTTAAAAACACCCTGTGGCGCAGGCCTGTAATAGTATTTTTCGCCAATGTTTACAATACAATTTGTCTTATACTTTTCACCATTGATATGAACAAAAAGGTAGATACGGTTGATATCTTATGCGAATTCTTCGAAGTTGCAATCCACAACATTGTTTATGTCAGGAAGTTGTACCCAGCCTCTATTTTTACTGAAAAAAAGAAATACGGAGTTCCAGTTTATCAGTGCATACATCCTGAGGTCAATAATTATATCATAGACTCCCTGAAAGCAGCACGTTTCCATTTGCGGAAAAATCAGTTGAAAAGACTGTTTGTTTGCTTCCATACAGAAGATAAGCTGATTGAAAAATACATTTTTGAAGTGTTAAGCTTAAAAAATATTATAGACAGGTGAGTTACACAAGATGTAAGGTTTATAATGTAACAGTCATAGAACTTTCTGACTCGTATGACAAAAACAAGAATTGTTACATGACTGCAGCAGCCTTATTTTTTCCTTAGCTAAACTCTTTTCTATCTATATATCAGAGTATATCCAACATATTTTCCTCCCTTATGAAGAGTTTACTCTAGCTGGTTCTTGTTATCTTGTGTTTTTCTCTACCATTTTTTTTTCTGTTTAGTGATACCCTGTTAATAGAATTTGAAAAATCCTTAAGAGCATTAGTTTTAAACTTATTCACATCAAAGCAGTATGTTGATGAACTACCTGAAGATGCTACTTTTACTGTGAGGCTTCAGACCACCGCCTACTCTAGCTTAGAGTTCGACCAGAGCCCTTCTTATGAGGTGAGTGAACTAATAGGTTCTTATACATAGTCCAAATTCAAATTTACATGTAATGAGCAAAACAAGCCAAATTTCAAGTCAGATGATCTGTTGTGTATGACTTCTGGCTACAATATCGCGCCAAATAGTGTAATTTAGTTGCACTTTTAACTCAAAACTTGGTCAAACTGGACTTACAACCATTTACGTCTTTGGTGCAAGATTGAAGTTTGTTTTTTTCATATTAATTTTTGCACTGTGCAGGGTGAAGTTTGATGAGTTGTTTTGTTGCAGTAAATTAAAAGGCTTGTTATTCATAATAAGACTTCTTTAACATTTTAGAAACATTTGTTATGTTTAGAGTTTAGGTCATTTTGCTCCAAGCCAGTAGGTACTTAATATGTATACATTTAATTTTAGGCAACTGTTTGCTATATTTTGGAAGAATCAGATCTGATATGAGTTTAGAGATATTTTGGGAATATACAGGGTGTTTGGTTCATCTATTGTCCAACTGAAATGGCGGACAGGGGAGGTCTTTTTCTATGTCCCCAGGTCCCTTAAACAGTTTTTAACCCAACAGAATTAATTATGTAGATTTTTTAATTTTTTTTAGTAAAACTGAGACTTACATTTTTTGTTCTTCTTTGTAACCCTTGGTGAGTTGATAAATAAAAAACTACATGCTGCTGGCAAGTAATGTTGATTTTATAAGATTGGTGCTACATCACCCATTAAGATAAATTAATCATTAGGTGGACATACTCTTTATTTTTTTTATTTCACTTTGTGTATTACATTTTGGAGTTTTTACTAAAAAAATTTGAAAAATCTACATAATCAATTCCGTTGGGTTAAAAACTGTTTGATGCACCAAACACACCCTGTATTGTATTGCTGTTTAATTTTCCAGTCTGTACTATACATGAAGTAGTTATATTTTTGGATGCATCACCTTTTACAGGATTTTCCGTGGATAGAAATAAAAGAAAAAAACAATAAGGTTGAAAATGCAGATATTATTCCAGTCCACACAGTAGAGTCAGATGTGATAAATTTCCAATTGTATATTGAGAAAAGCAATTGATGATGGATGAAAGCAAATCCAGTGAAGGCGGCATAAAACTAAAGAGTAGATTAGCTGTTTTTGAGCATATTACAGATGAGAACAAACCAAAGAAAAGAAAATTTGGTTCCAGCAGGTTCAATGATTCAGATGATTCCTCAGTTTCAGAATCTGAGCTGGTCATAGATGAGACACCTACTGAGGTAAAATATATGTTCTAGGGTGCTAAGTAGATCATTATGATCTAGACTGGGTAACACTTTAGGCCCAGATGCTAACACTTTAACAGCCTAGATAAACCAAAGACCCAGATACAGACTATATCAAGGTTATTTTAGGCAGGGTTCACAGGCAAAAGTACAAAACTTTTTCATCCTTGGCATATTTAATCGTCTATGAGAGTTACTTCAAAATCTGGTGGGTACTTTTCAAGTTATAATAGGGACAACGATTATCAGATAGACAGACTGACAGAAATCAGTGACATGGTTTCTCGTACATCCAAATAAATATCAATTTCGAAATTTTTCGCGATAAGAATACTTTCTCGCCAGTGGTGTAGGAAGTATAGAAGCACCGGCGATTTAGTTTACTATAAAAAGGGAATTATCTGTTGGAAAATTTCGTGTATTAGTTATTTGTTTGTTAGACAAAGCGCACATTAAGTATGAAAAACTAATTAATCAAGAAAAGTTCAAAAATACGTAATTTACGGTCAAAAATCACAAAAAAATTCTACTACTAGTACAATATATAGGCTCAATGAACCCGCTTATGTTAATGTCTTTCTCTATTAATAAACTTCAGTATGAATTATACTAAGTGACATATAAATCCGAACACCCAGTTTAAATGGTTTTATTTTAATAAAAGTTGGTGAATGTATTTATCTTACTGTAAATATCAAGTGAAAAAATTTTCAGCCTTATCAGTTGGACATTCCGGTTTTTATACCGCTTTTTTTTAATCCACTAACGCTCTAAAAATGAATATTTCAGCCGCAGTAAAGAATCAACGTTGGCGGATTTTGGTTCTTGACATCCTTTACGATCGGTTACGATGCCTAGAGTACGGAGACCTGTACGATTTCGTCAACTTAGTGAGTTTGATAGGGGCCGTATAGTGGGAGTTCGGGAAGCTGGACTTTCTTTTCGGGCAATTGCAGTTAGAGTGCAAAGAAGTGTAGAAACTGTGGTTAGGTGTTGTCAGGCATGGCTTCGAGAAGGCCGTACGCAAACAGCAAGGAGCAGTGGACGCCGCCGTAGAACAACAGACCGTGAAGATCGCCGCCTAAGATTATTGGCCTTAAGGGACCATTTCTCCACTACCAGGTCCATTGCAAATGAATGGTTTGCAGAACACGGAAGACCTATTGGCATGCGAAGTGTTTACCGACGAATGAGAAGTTTTGGCTTGAATTCATACCGGCCACACTGGGTCCTCCCTTTAACTCGAGAACACCGACGTAATCGCCTTGAGTGGTGCAGACAACGGTCACTCTGGGATCAGGAATGGAACAGTATTGTCTTTAGTGACGAGTTTCGATTTTGTTTAGGCATGCACGATGGTCGTGCCAGGATTAGAAGGCGACGTGGTGAAAGGAGGAATCCACAGTTTTTTGTTGAAAGACATGTTCATCACACTGTTGGAGTTATGGTTTGGGGTGCTATAGCTTATGGTTCCAGGTCACCTTTAATCTTCATCAGAGGTAACATGAACGTGCAGCGTTATATCCACGAAGTTCTAGAACCCCATCTTTTACCCTATCTTGACACCCTGGCAGATCCAACTTTCCAACAAGATAATGCCCGACCACATGTTGCAAGAGTCACAATAGACTTCTTTCAACATAATGATGTCACATTGTTACCATGGCCACCAAGATCTCCCGACTTATCCCCAATTGAGCACGTGTGGGATATGATGGGTAGGAGATTGCTCAATTTGCAACGTCCTCCTCAGACTCTAGAAGCACTTCGAGAGAAGTTGGTGGTTGCCTGGAATGAGATACCACAGGAGGACATTGACCACCTGATCAGGAGCATGCCTAGGCGCGTTGGAGAATGCGTAGCACATCAGGGTGCATCCACACATTATTAAAGGTCAAAGGGCTTTAAAGCAGTGCAATCATTTTGAAATTTTTATCATTTACTTATTATGCTTCATTAAGTACTTATACAAAATTTTATTAAAATAAAACCATTTAAACTGGGTGTTCGGATTTATATGTCACTTAGTATACATTGGAAAGATCTAGACATTACATATTTTACCAACAGTTTTAGTAATACTGAGGTACACAACTGAGACTGTTTCAGGTAAAGAAGAAGCAAAAGAGAAAACGTCCGATCAGAATTAGTGAAGAGGTACTAAGTTTGAAGTGTGACTGGGATTCATGTGGTACTGTTATAGACTCATGGCGTGAATTTGACGTTCATCTTCTTGAACATGCGTCATATTCTGGTAAGTAAATTGTTAAAAACTTGGTACAGCAACTTTTTGTACATAACTGTCATCTGATGTATATTGCCATCTCGAGGGCTGGCATCTCTCGCTTTTCATGCTCTGCGTCGGGGCTTCTATTCGGATAAAATATGAGCAGGGAGAGCTATGATGCTTCTCCTCCAACCCCCCACCCCCCCCCCAATTCCTCCACGGTCTTAAAGTTTTTCTAGCGGCATTGTATTGTTTGTTCCCAAAATTACGTCGTAGTTTTGTCTACCAATGCATACCAAAGCGACATCGTCTTATCAACTGGCGGAAACATCTACCTTTATGTGGCTGGTCCCGCTCTTTGCAGATTATACAGGGTGCCCAGAAGTCGACGCCAAGCCGAAACCGGGTGATAGGCAAAGTCATAACAGCTATCAGAAAAATATTTAAAAAAAATTTATGTATGTGTTTTGAAAATTATAGGTCTTTGAAAAAAATATAAAAATTTCACACCCTACGGCAGTCTGTCAACTCCTGTTACTACAAATATTAACTTTTTTTGGATTTTATTTTTACAATGTAATGATGAATAATGCATCTTCAAACTGGTGTCTCAACCTTACTGCCAACTTTTCTCGTTCAGGAAAAATTGCCACTTATTTCCCAACCAAGTATTCCTGTACTGGAAAAAAATGTACTACGACAGTTTGGCAAGTAACCTTAAAAGTTAGCGCATTTAATAAGGATTCCAAAATGGTATAACACTTAGAAGATTACTCGTTAACTTATGCACAATTTTTATTTGAAGAAAAACTGTTGAAAATTTTTCAAAATTTCCTAATTAAACAGCGATTATGAAAACGCACAAGGACCCTTAAGGATAACTGTTTGCACAACAGTGGGCGTCAAAATGCTGCTGATGATGATTTACCTTTACAGCAAATGCTCAAACTGTTTTCCTTCAGCCGCAATACACGCTCGACATCTTCTTAAAAAAGATCGGGTTATTAAACGAGCGAATCCAAGGTTATTAACAAACTCAGCTGCTTCCAATAGTCTTTGCCGTAGCTCAGCTACATTTTGAATCGGCTTGAAATACACTTTTTCTTTTACAGTTCCCCACTAAAAAAATCTAAAGGATTCAAATCAGGTGATCGGGCTGGCCACGGTATTGTACCAGACCGCCTTATCCATCTGCCTGGAAAGTTTTGTTCGAGATACTCTCTCACTGAGAGTGCATAGTGCGCTGGGCAGCCATCATGCTGAAACCGCATGTCCCTGTAAATACTCAGTGGCACGTCCACCAATAAATTTTGTACATGATTTTTCAAAAAATCCAAATAAACTTCAGCAGTCAAAGTCTTTGGGAACTCAAACGGACCGATTATTTTACCATTTAAAATTCCTGTCCAATGGTTTATCTTGAAGCGATATTGAGATTTATCTTCTCTCATCAAATGTGGGTTTGCTACGTGCCACTCGTGTAAGTTATGCAGGTTCATGTACCCATCTTTCTTAAATGTGGTCTCATCCGACCATGAAATTTTTTCAAAGAACTGGATCTTTCCTGTGTCTTTCTAACATTGTGCGACAAAAAGCAACTCGGGGCTCATAATCCCGGGGCAGGAGAGGTTGAACACGCTGTATGTGGTATGGATGAAGCACATCACTTACTTGCTATTGCACACTTTGATACCTATCAGTACTCCTACGTTTACTGCGCATCTTTACATGTTCGTGCTTGTTGATTTCGTACTGTTACTAATTTTGGATTCGTGAACTGGTCTGTTGATCGCTTGTGATTTGGATTTGGACTGTTTAATTGCTCTTCAAAACAACATTTGCTTTCTTTAGACTATCTTTGATGGGGTGATTGTGCAGTGCCGCTATGTCCGTGTACCCCGTACAAGAATATGCTAACATGCACCTCATTTATGGGGAATGCAGATGCAACGCTGGTGCTGCAGCGAGACTTTACTGTGAGAGGTAACCGAATGCAGCTCGTCATCCAGATCATCGAGTGTTAACAAATGTGCACCGCTTACTGTTCTCAGAGGGCCAACTACCAAACCAATCACACGGTGAGGGAAGATCTTTCCTTCCTTACGAAGACGTGGTGCTGGGAGCTGTCGAAGAAGACCCGAGTACTTCAGTGCGTGCAATAGAACTAAAAACAGGTGTGCCCAAAAGTACAGCCCATAGAATCTTGCAAAAAAACGTGCTCCATCCATACCACGTACAGCGTGTTCAAGCTCTTCTGCCCCGGGATTATGAGCCCCGAGTTGCTTTTTGTCGCACAATGTTAGAAAGATACAGGGAAGATCCACGGTTCTTTGAAAAATTTTTATGGTCAGATGAGACCACATTTAAGAAAGATGGGTACATGAACCTGCATAATTTACACGAGTGGCACGTAGCAAACCCACATTTGATGAGAGAAGATAAATCTCAATATCGCTTCAAGATAAACCATTGGACAGGAATTTTAAATGGTAAAATAATCGGTCCGTTTGAGTTCCCAGAGACTTTGACTACTAAGGTTTATTTAGGTTTTTTGCAAAATCATTTAGAAAATTTATTGGAGCACGTGCCACTGAGTATTTACAGGGACATGTGGTTTCAGCATGATGGCTGCCCAACGCACTATGCACTCTCAGTGAGAGAGTATCTCGATCAAAACTTTCCAGGCAGATGGATAGGGCGGTCTGGTACAATACCGTGGCCAGCCCGGTCACCAGATTTGAATCCGTTAGATTTTTTACTGGGGAACTGTAAAAGAAAAAGTGTATTTCAAGCCGATTCAAAATGTAGCTGAGCTACGGCAAAGACTATTGGAAGCAGCTGAGTTTGTTAATAACCGTGGATTCGCTCGTTTAATAACCCGATCTTTTTTAAGAAGATGTCGAGCGTGTATTGCGGCTGAAGGAAAACAGTTTGAGCATTTGCTGTAAAGGTAAATCATCATCAGCAGCATTTTGACGCCCACTGTTGTGCAAACAGTTATCCTTAAGGGTCCTTGTGCGTTTTCATAATCGCTGTTTAATTAGGAAATTTTGCAAAATTTTCAACAGTTTTTCTTCAAATAAAAATTGTGCATAAGTAAACGAGTAATCTTCTAAGTGTTATACCATTTTGGAATCCTTATTAAATGCGCCAACTTTTAAGGTTACTTGCCAAACTCTCGTAGTATTTTTTTTTCCAGTACAGCCAGTTAAAGTTGAGCAAAGTTTTACTTTGGAATACTTGGTTGGGAAATAAGTGGCAATTTTTCCTGAACGAGAAAAGTTGGCAGTAAGGTTGAGACACCAGTTTGAAGATGCATTATTCATCATTACCTTGTAAAAATAAAATCCAAAAAAAGTTAATATTTGTAGTAACAGGAGTTGACAGACTGCCGTAGGGTGTGAAATTACTATATTTTTTCAAAGACCTATAATTTTCAAAAAACATGCATAAAATTTTTTTAAATATTTTTCTGATAGCTGTTATGACTTTGCCTATCACCCGGTTTCGGCTTGACGTCGACTTCTGGGACACCCATAATAAGTACCATGTCGAGCACCAAAATTATCTGCAAACACTCGCAAAATAATACTAAAAATACAACTTCAGTCACAGAACTGTACAAAAATTGACTTGTGTCAAGTGCACTCTGAACGTGACTCTGAATAAAAATAAATAATTAAACAATATCCGAATCACATGCATATTTCCTATTGGCATTTCAGGTTGACATTTGTTTCTAAAAACCCTATTTAAACCTAATTTACGCCATTTAAAAGCAGACACAAACACTAGCCAATATAAGCGCGATGATTTCAAGTTCGCGCGCTGGTGTTTCGACGCTGTGTAAATCGAGATTTGAATATTTCCAGGAACAAATTGTCTATGGCTTGACTGCGGATACGATTGTATGACAGTTCCTTTTCTCATGCAACACATTTCTTATCATGGATACCTTACAAAGTTGAAAAATATTGGTAAGAATATTTTGGAACGAGAGAGTTTGCCCGAATGCAAACATGAGAGAAATGAAAAAATTATTTTGAAGAGAGAAGGGTACGTATGTGAGTGGGAGCACTGCTTGAGAAATTTCTATAACATTTGCGAGTTCCACTTGCATATGGAAATTCATGTAAATGCTAATCCAAGAGTTGCAAATGAGAAGAAAAATGAAATAATTTCGTGTGATTGGGCAGGTAAGGGTAGTTAGTACTAGATATTATATCTAATCTAAAGTTTGCACAGGGACTAATAATAGTTTAGAAACATTAGAGTAGTTCCGTAAGGCTTTGTAATAGGAGTGGTATCTTTATAGAGAAACTAGGGATTTATCAATTCAAGTAGCTTGATATTTTCATACTTTACTACTTAACTTGACAATAAAATTACTACTTCTACTTGCGGTAAAGTATTTTCAAACTACTTGATACTTGATGGGAAATTATATATTTGTTCTACTGGTGGCGTTCAGTGATGAACTATATTTTGTATTCTAATGCAAATAATCACGAGTGGTGGAGAAAGACATGAAAATATATCCCCAAATCTAGTTTTAATCGCAAGAGATTATTTATCGACACCTGCAGCATCAGCGCCAATTGAAGGGGAATTGTCTGGAGATGTATTTACCATTATGGATCCCCGCAAACGACAAATCCATTAGGACCCTTATGTGTCTTATTCTGTTTTTTTCTAAAATCTTAGTTTTCAGTTTCATCACTCTTTTATTTATTCTATGATGACCAAAATGTTTTTTATTAATTTTTATGTAACTTGTCACAAAGTATTTTCGTTGTGTATTTATAATCTCCTCATATTTATATTACACAAATGATCAAGTAATATCAAGAATACTTGAACTTGCAAGTACTTAACGTAAAAACTACTTGACCTGATTCACATTGCAAATATCTAATACTTGAGTTAATGTCGAGTCAAGTAGCTTGAAAATTAAGTGGAACAGATCCCTAAGGGACCGTTCTCACCCAAAGCAACTGTCAGCCGTAACCCTACTGAAAAACGACTCGGTGTATGTATAAATACAAGAGCTCACACCAAACAGATGGCAGTGTGACCAGTTGCTCAGCCGTTGCTCGTACCGGCGTCGCTAGTTCTCACCAGCTAATGGAAAATATCTGTGGATGTCATTGTGGCACTTCAGTTAACGACCCGGTCATGGGATGACGAAATCCAGGAACATGGTCCTTCGTCAGAAAAAGGTTTTAATGTTATTGTTGGAAATATTTAACACTTCACAGTATAACTTTTATTTTAATAGTCTATAAATGGATTTTTCTTGAATAACTAAAGGCGAATGTGACACGATCATTATTTACTGTGATCATCAGTATTTATCATGGATAATCTATTGAGCATGTAGCCGGCACGGGTATCACTTAAAAAACCTACAAACCGTCAAAAAAACCTATAAGAGGTCAACTTGCAGACTAGGTTTCTAGGGCACAAACAATCATTCCACGTTTGCTCACTAGGATCGTTGTGAACGTCCATCTATGAAGGAATCACTCAACTAACTATACGCATTATTGGTTGCATTGTTTTGTGAGGCTGAGTGATCCGTGTCTGTAGTTTTTATCTCTGACCAGAAAGTTGGTTGAATAACAAGATCGCATCTGGATGTGTATTGGTCTGCATGTGTATAGAATCAGTGATATTTGCTCTGTGAGAAAATCATTACTGAATAAAAACTGAGGAGAATTACGGGAAATCATCACCGTGCCCGCGTTGTGTGTAATTACTGTTAGCATGTATATGGCTTGTAATTCGACAGTGTACAGTGAATATAATTATTTATTGTCTCTCATTTTTGAAATTCAACAAATTTGTATATGTAATTTCCAGAATGGATAAGAAAAAGTGGATGCGTAACTAATTTCTAGCTTTGAATCTCAATTAAGTGTATTTGAGACAAGAACCTAATGTAATTATCATCAACACATACAACTTACTGCTTAGACCTCCAGTAATGCCATCTCAGAAGCAGGTTTTACATCGCATCAGAGCCAAAGATTGATAACAAGCCTCGTGACGTTTTGGCAACACGTACAACTAAGTCAACGTTTTGGCGACAAACCTACATAATGTCAAAAAACAGCATAATGTCAAAAAAAACGGCATAATGTCCCTTTTCACGATACGTGATACTCGCGTGGGGCGTCGATGATTATGCATGTGTAAGGCTACGTAGAAATTCGTTGATATTGGCGGAATCATCAGCAAATACTGGTGGTGTCACATTCGCTTTAGAGAACCACATCGCATTTTTCTATTATTTTTCGATACAATAATACAATGTCTTTTAAAAATTTGGTATATTTGACTATCGGATTTATATTGTGCCTTCAACCATTGTATTTCATTATAGGTTGCAAACAGAGGTTTGCTACAAAATATAAGTTGGCGGAGCATTTGAGAACGCATACCCATGAAAAAATAATTTGTTGTCCAACGTGCAGCACATTGTTTGCCAATAAAACCAAGTTTGTTGATCATCGAAAGCGGCAGTTATCAGAACACTGTGAGTTTTAAAACAAGTAAAATTTCATCCAAGTACGAAATCTTAGAATTCTATAGTACTTTTCAGGGAATTGTATAGGGTGTAAAGTTATGGGTGGAGCAACGGAAGCCATCCTCAATACCTAATGAATTAACCCCCGTATACAGGATGTTGCGTGCTTAAATGGACATAGTAAAATGGTAGCTACCATATTTATCTAAGCACAATATCACATATCTTAGTCATTATTGAACCGATCTTGCACGATAACAAAGTTCTTTAGGAGTAACGTAAAAGTAGACAAATCCAGGGTCGGACTCGATTTTTTCAACCTTCCTAGCTGGGTAATCAAATGTTTCACTATCTACAAAAAAAAAACAATGAATGATGCTAATTGACTAGCAAACAGATTGATTGCGCCTCTTTTGCATAATCAATGTTATGCACTCTATTTAATTTTTTTTTTGGTGAAGTTTTTGCTGTTTTAACTCTACCAACTGATATTCTACAACATGAATTTAAAAGAGAAGCGACATTTAATAACTAATTCCACTAAAATTGACCTTCTAGACCAACTTGAAATCAGGATAAAAATCCACAAAAATGATTCGTTGTCTGAAATTTCAATATTGTGCTCCTCTATCATCTGGCATCTGTTGATCCACCGATACCTGAACACCGTGTATACTTTTAGCATAATTTGGGCGATTCTGTTTTTTTTAATGAATTTTGCACCCCACCACTCTGTAAAAAATACCGGAATTATGCATTTTATTCTTGTGTATATTGGCGCAAAAGGTACGTGATATTTAGGGTACTAGAATGTTACTAATAAAAAATCTTCTATACTCAGTGACATTACCGTTGTGCGACCATCGTGCTTACCTAGACAGAATGTTGAAGATTTTCTATTTTCAGAAATTTTGCACCGGTTAATGTGTTTCACCTAATATAACATTGTTTATAAGACTGTTTATCTTCGATATATTTCCCTCTATCTTTATGTTTATTTCAGTACAAAGTTACCAGTGTTCCCAGTGCTTGAAGCTATTTCCAACTGAGCGATTACTGAGAGAGCACACTCGTTCTCACATAAATCACTACAAATGTCAAATGTGCAATATGACTTGTGCTACTCCTTCAAGACTGGCAGAACACATTAGGTTTAGGCATTTGGATATGAAGCCTTTTAAATGCAATGAATGTGATAAAACGTAAGTAAACTACTAGATTTATGATGATAATACGAGATAGGTATATTCGTCACTGCTAAGCAAGTCGTATAAACTAAACCTACGTTCTCCCGGGGCAAAAAGAAGACAGAGTGGCAGCCCTTCGATATCTCTTTCGTGACCATTATTCGAGTGGGGAGTGATAAGTGAAATAGCGGTTGTGGACGGTTCACACGGTCACGATTCGGTTCATTTTTTGACTCGAACCAAATGAACCTTGGAAAATAAGCAGCGATCGTGTTAGCTATGACCTTCTAGAATCAGCAATCTTCTACAATTCCTGACAGTATAAGCTCCTCAAATGCTTGAATTTCGCGATTACTTGATTAGAATTATTACTAATTAGAAACTCTCAAAAACTACTGGATCAGTCGGCTCCAATTTTGTTGTCGTTATTTAGAAGTATGAAGCCTACAAATTTGAAGAATTTCAAGCATCTGCGTGGAACTATCGTCTCATTACCAACAACTGATAAAACCTGTATCTTCTCGGCCATAACCTTTTTACTATTAATCGGTTCTTTTTACGTGTGGTCTCATTCTGTGCGTCTCATAAATATCCAAAAATCTTCTTTGAAGAGTTGCCTCTTCTGTAACCACGAATTATCTGTCATATATTTTTTAGAAATGCATTATTTTTTAAGGAATATTGACACATTCCTTTAAAGTCGCAAAAAAGTAATGAAATGGGATATTTTTGAAATCATACTGATCTTTTATTCAATGAATCTGAAAGTTCAACAAACCTTATTTAATTGGTAATTTTTCTAAATCCAAATTATTAACTTTATCTTCAGTTATCCGAAATTGTTCTTCAAAAAATATTAAAAATGCCTCTCCTGAAAAAAAAGCATTTTTTGAATAGCGTCACTATTTTTGAGAAACAGCGAAATCATTTTTGGAAAACGGGCCCATTCTGTTACAACTTATCCGATTTACCGTGGTGCAAAAACAATTTTTCTCATTATGATATGTCTGATATATTGCAGCTTCAAAATGAAATATGGGTTTGTCCAAAACGGATGCAGGAAAGTAAACGCGTATTAAAACAAGAAAGATTGATATTCAAATCAAGTTGGGTACTTTATTTTGAAGGTTCATTTATACCATTTATGTATGAAAAATAATATCGCTCAAATGTTCACCACGACTGGATTTACAGACGTCCACGCGATGATCGAAATTTTCAATGACATTTTGCAACATGGTCGGTTCTATGGCATTTATCTCGGCAATGATGTTGTTTTTGAGTTCTTGAAGGGTGGTTGGTTTGTTGATGTAGACTTTGCTTTTCAAATATCCCCATAAAAAAAAGTCCAAGGGAGTCAAATCGCACGATCTTGGTGGCCTGCGCGAAATCACGCGATCACCGAAGAAGGACTGCAATCGATGGATATTGACGTTGGTTGTGTGGCATGTTGCACCGTCTTGTTGAAAATAAACATCGTCCATATCCATTCCTTCAAGTTGCGGCAAAAGATAGTCCTCTATCATCACGTGATATCGCTTAGAATTGACGGTAACGGCGTCCCCGGCCGCATTTTCGAAAAAGTAAGGTCCGATGATGCCTTTTGACCACAACGCACACCACACAGTCACTTTTTGAGGATGCATCGGCTGCTCTTGATACTCACGGGGATTTTCGTTCGCCCAGATGCGGCAGTTTTGCTTGTTTACCGTCCCATTCAAAGTGAAATGCGCTTCGTCGCTGAACATGATTTTTGATGAAAAATTGGCATCAATTTGGCGGTGTTCAAGGAGCCAATCTGAGAACATTCGGTGCGAAAAATGGTCGGCCTGACGCAGCTCTTGCGTCAATTGGATCTTGTAGGCGTGTACATTCAAATCCTTATGGAGAATGCGGAGCAAACTGGTTCTCGAAATGCCCAATTCTTGGGATCGACGCGTTGTTGATTGTTTCGGATCGTCTCTCACACTCTCCTTCACAACAGCAATATTTTCCGGTGTGCGAACGCTCCTTGGCCGGCCAGAGCCTGGCAGATTTGCCACAGAACCTGTTGCCTCGAATTTACGCACCAGACGACCGACGGTTGTTTCGTTTGGGCGTTTGTTGCGACCGAAATGTTCACGAAGCGCGCGAAACGTGTTTTTTATTTTTGCACCATTTTTGTAGTGCTCTTGAATAACTTTAATGCGGTCTTCAATCGAATACGACTCCATAGCGATCAATGGTAAACATTCAACTAACAAAATGACATGTCGCTGACAGAAAACAAAGATGGCGTCTATGTCAAATTGACGTTTACTTTCGTGCGTCCCTATTGGACAACCCATATATTTTGACAACTCATATCAAAACTCATGGCGGCGAGTCGGAGGTTCATTTTTGGAAAACGGATCCATTCTGTTACAACTTATCCGATTTATCGTGATGCAAAAACAATTACAGGCAATTTTTCTCGTTATGATATGTCTGATATATTGCAGCTTCAAAACGAAATATATTTTGGCAACTCATATCAAAACTCATGGCGGCGAGTCGGAGGTGTGCGGGCATTGTAATTTCAAATGTCGCTCTAAAGTAGGGATGCAGTCTCACTATAAAAAGAAACATGACCAGGTAAGTTTTATTTTTTATTATTCGTCTGAAATCCATTCAAGACCCGGGTTTTCAATCGCAAGTTAACTTTCTGGTTAATTAACTATAACCAGGGAACTTAATTTGTAGTTGCCTCCAAATGCGTTTTTAAATATTTTGACAGCAGTTAACTTACCTAAAGTTCATAATATATTTCGCGTCATATGCCATAATTTATATTTATGGATAAATTTATATGAATTTGTAGATGTTTGAATAAACGCCAGTCTATGTCAGCAATAGTCAGGTATTACTGTTTAACTTCAGCCTTTCTAGTTAATTCATAGATGGTCTTCTGGATAAAGTTAACTACCGTTTTACTATAAACATGACATTGGAAAACGCTTTTTCATGGATAACTGTTACCACCAAAGTTGAAGTTAACTTGCCGGGCCTTAGTAGTTAGTTAGTTAGTGTTACTGTCAAGAGTTGCAAAATAGGTGTATGTTCATTATTTAATCTTTTTTTTTCAGGCAGCACCAATATTTGAATGTCATTCGTGCAAAAAGAAACTAAAAAGAGGTCAGTTTCTGACTAAACATTTGATGAAAATGCATAATTACCATTGGCCTTCGGGTCATTCCAGATTCAGGTGAGAAATGAAAATATGAAAATTAAAGAAACCTCTAAAGTTTAGATCTAACAATCTCCATTAGAATGACATACATTTTAGCTTTATACATTAACAATAATAGCCCACTTTCCCGTGTAAACTCGTATGTGTTTATGTATGAAAATACCGTATACGTATCAGCCCTTAACACGTTAACTGCCACAATATAAAAAAAAATTTGATCCCCTGGGCCACAAGCTAAAAATTGTTTATTATACTTTCAAATTCATAAAAATGTTGACACGATATTTATTACTCGTCAATAGCTGTCAAAAATTGTGTTTTTGAACGTGAATCAAGTGTGTCTCACGTGGCCTGGTTAACCAAATTTGCACAGAGGGCCACATGAATCATGCGTGATGCAAAACATAACCTATCTATTCTCGGTGATCACCACGTGTTGATTCTTCATTTAGTCTATGGTTATATTAGCGATACAGTAAAGAGAATTTGCGGTTTTTATTAACCAAGGTAAGATTTTTTGTTAACATTTCATTACAACAATTAATTTAATGTTTTTTCTTAAGATAAATGGGTAGCTATGAGAAAGAGCAGCAACGTCTGCAAAAACTAATTGACGAGATGTTTTCCGATGAAGAGGCCGATCCTTTTGAGGCTTCCTCAGATGAATATGAACCTGATAGTTGGCATTCATCGTCTTCATATAGCTCGAAAGGCAGTAACGAGCCATTAGTAAAAAAGAAAAAAACAGTGGATCATCCAATAGCATCTTCTGATGTTGGCAGAGAAGGTACTAGTAGACAGCTTCTTACCAGAACTGATGATTCATCGTCTTCTCAGAAAGTAAATCAAAATGATTCAATTCTGGACACCATAGAAGCGGTTATTCATCAATTTCAACTGGACAGCTCAGATGAAAATGAGGAACTGGTTCCATCACTGATGTGGCAAGAAGTTTCTGGGCAATATCTCAAGGACTTTCCGATTGACATTCCCGAAAGTGGTGTTGTAAATGCTTTATTTGAACACGTTGACAAGTCTCCTATTTTTTTCTTCAAGTTAATGGTTGACGAAAATGTCGTAAACAATATTGTGAGGGAAACAAATCGTTTCGCTGCACAGAAAAAAGAATCGACACTACTAAAGTGGTCTCGAATAAATAAGTGGAAAGATACCAATTCTGACGAAATCATGACTTTCATTGGTCTTCAAATTTGGATGGGCTTGTTTCGTGCTCCTAAACTGGCAGACTATTGGTCAAAAAAGAAGATATATGTGAACCAAATTGCAGGCGTAATGTCGCGCAACAGATTTGAGTTGTTGTTGGCGAATTGGCATTTTCAAGATAATCAAACCGCCGACACTTCTGATAGATTGTACAAACTTGGACCCCTCCTGGAGCAGCTTAGAACGAACTTTCAAAAGTACTTCATTCCCAAAGACCAGATATGCGTGGATGAAACGCTTGTCCCTTTCCGTGGAAGGCTGGCTTTTATTCAGTATATCAAGAATAAACGGCACAAGTTCGGAGTGAAATTGTATAAATTATGTCTTGATGGAGGCTATACCTATGATTTGAAAATCTATTGTGGCAAGGAAAAAGTGCAAGGGTCAAGCGTACCAACGAACATCGTTATGAACATTTGCGAACCACTTTTGAACTGCGGACGATGCATTTATGTAGATAACTACTACACCAGTATGGAGCTAGCACACAAGTTACTCGAGAAAAAAACTCACTTAGTGGGTACGCTAAGAAAAAATCGTAAAAATAATCCGAAAGGTGTTATACACAAAAAGCTGAAGAAGGGTGAATCATACAGTCAAGAGAGTAATACGGGAGTTGTAATAACAAAATGGCACGACAAAAGGGAAGTCCTTACTTTATCTACTAAACATACTGGCCAAATGGTTACAGTGAGATCACGACGTAATGCGGAAGTAGAAAAGCCCGACGTTGTTGCTGACTATAATACATGCAAAGCATTTATCGATTTATCGGATCAGATCAAATCATATTCCTCAGCTTTGAGAAAAGGGATAAAATGGTATAGAAAAATTGCCGTGGAATTGATTCTAGGATCGGCCATGGTAAATGCATATATCCTGTTCAAAGCAGTAACTGGACAAAAAATGACTATAACAACATTCAGAGAAGAAGTTGCTTCATGCCTTCTAAATTTCCCACAAGAACACCAGAACGAGCAAGAAGATACGCAAGCAAATCAAATAAAACATATTTTAGAAGATGTCAACACTTCTAATAGGCGAAGATGTTGCATTTGCTACTGTAAAATATCAAAAGAAAAGGGAAGAACCGTGGCAGCCAAAACCACTGCACAAACTAGATGGAAGTGCATTCAATGCGATAAACACTACTGCGTGACTTGCTTCACAGAATCTCATGTTTGTACAAAATAGTTGTTCTTGTTGTTTTATGTAGCTAATTAGTTCCTATACTTGTATTTTCTTCGTTTTTGTTTCAATAAAAAGCGTCCAGCATGAAGTTTGTCTTGAATTAATAAAAGTTAAAATAATTTGCACTTAGTGCCTAAATAAAAACAAAATAAACAAACTTTTACGTAGGCTAACTACCTCATTTTATTTGCGAGGCCACGGTTGTTCAACTACCATGTTATTATGCGGCCGCTGTGAATCGTCGCTGAGCTACAGATATAAACCTAATAGTTTTCACGTGAATCAAGGATGATTCACATGGCTCACTGAATTTATAACCTATGAGACACACTTGATTCACGTGGCAGTTAACGTGTTAAATCGCAGTGTTTACCTTATAATGATTAACCAAAGTTAAGGGCGTCCCTAAGCGTATTGAAACGATCCCAGAGACGCAGAAGTCAACGTGACATTATTCCGTTTACTTGTACAGTACGGAAAGCTAAACAATCGGCTAACAAAGTGGCAAGGCAAGTAAGGTTATGTAAGATTTGTTGTCAAACGTATAATTTTTTCAACGCGTAGTTTCGCCCAGAACACTCCTCAATATCCCATCAAACATCACACAACAAATAATATGGTAATCCTCCATGTTTTAAAATTCTTCTTCAGTGCTTACGTTTCGGCGACCTTCAGTTCATGACACTTTTTGACAATATTTCTTTTCTTTCAGGTGTCACGTCGTTTGTTTTTTCTTTTCATTTTCAGATTCCTACGCAGTGTTACTTTAATAGTCTGAAAGATCCGTAACATATCGAGAAAAGGGCATCTAGCCCCCCCCCAAAACGAAAAAATGAACTTGATGTTACGGTTCGATTTTTTAATGCACCGGATGAAAAGTGTCATGTACTGAAGTAGGTCACCGTCGTGACCGAGACTTATACTACTGGCTGTGTGCGCAGGTGCATGATCGTGGTGGAAGAACTAGACCCCTGGCTGCCACAAATTGGGTCTTTTTGACGAACGCAATCGTCTTAAAACCTCCAAATAGCACAAGCTCTCTAATTTTTTCAACATTTTCTTCCATTCGGGCAGTTGATGGACGTCCAGAGCAAGGTTTGTCATCAATCGACATGTCGCCATTTTTAAATCGAGCAAACCATTCGTACATCTGAGTTTTTCCCATAGCATCGTCTTTGTAAGCTATTTTCAACATTAAAACAGTTTCAGCAGCATTTTTGCCAGTTAGAAAGCAAAATTTCACAGCGGCACGTTGCTCACTGAAGCGTGTCATCGTAGAAAACGAAACAAGCACGAAACAATTCTAGTACAGAGGAACGAAACAAGCCAGATCGACAACTCAGGCACTGGCTCTAGGGGCAGAAATGTGTACTACACAAGCTCCGCCCACTGCAATGATATTCCGGTTATTTTTGGGTATCTCCTCGTATGTGCTTTCATTGGCCAGACAAACATGGGGATTTATCGACATGAAAATCACAGAATAATTTTCAAATGTTACATTAAATAAATGGTGCACAACTAGATGGAAATTTAATGATCGCCACCCACCAATGTATTCGCCATATCCTTGCAGACAAATGTTTCTCAAATTCGGGCTACCTTGTGAATTTTGAGAAAAGCTGAAAATCTGACAGTGTATTTTTGGAGATGGCATCTGAAAATGCTAAGGATAAGTTGATTTTAGATGTCATAGATCATTTCAAGCTGCACCACTTTTCTTCAAAAATCAAAATTATGTAGATCTGGCTACCTCCGTCAGAATGAGATATCTAGTTTTTACATCTTACATAATTCCGCATGGGTATCATATAAAAAACCTATAAAACGTCAAAAAAAAACCTATAAGATGTCATCTTGCGAACTAGGTAGTTTTTAGGGCGCAAACAGACATTCCACGTTTGCTCACTAGGATCGTTGTGAACGTCCCTCTAAGGAGGAATCACTCAACTAAACTACACGCATTACTGGTTGCATATGTTTTGGGAGGCCAAATAGTCCTTGTCTGTAGTTTTTATCTCTGAGAAGAAAGTTGGTTGAATAGCAAGATCGCGTCTGGATGATTTATGTGTATTGGTCTGAATGTGTATAAAATCAGTGACATTTGCTGTGTGAGAAAATCATTACTGAATATGCTACCAATGAAGTATATCTGTTGGCTGTGACGGGTTATTTTTATGTTGTGCTTTCTGAAGAGAGGTTATGTTCAAAGTTATAAATTACGAAAAACTGAGGAGAATTACGGGAAATCATCACCGCGCCTGCGTTGTGCGTAATTACTTTTAGCATGTATATGGCTTGTAATTCGACAATGTACAGTGAATATAACTATTTCTTATCTCTCTCATTTTTGAAATTCAGCAGACTATAGGGTTCGGGATCACATAAGATTCCGATTTCAACTGCTTCCACTATCTCATTTTTTTTATCTAAGCTGAGAGCAATGGAGACCCTTCTTAAGCAATGATTGATTATCGATGTTACATTACAGTGAAAGTTGTAAATATAACATTCTTGTAGATACCGTAAAGACAAAGATGGAATCTACCGCTTGCAAACGGTTCGATACGAGAGTCTTGAAGTCACTGAAGAGATGATTAGGAGTGAGTCGATGCAAAAAAGTGATGGCGCGTCGCTTGGTTCTGATGATAAGAAGGATTACTGTATATCTGTCTCGTGCAGTAACGAAGCCTTCGCGTCAGGCGAAGATATTATAATTATGATCACGGATGTTGACGAACAAGGAAATATTATTCAGACGAAGGTATTGAAATCGCATACGCTTATATAAATGGTGTTCCATTTATTGTTTATTTTTTCAACTACTATTTTTGACATTCGCACCGAAATTGCGACCGTGGACTCTCTAATACTGCAAAAAGTCATCGAAAATTTTGATGTTCGGATGATGGCATGTCAACGGAGCCGCGGTGGACATATTTGCGATGTTATATTCAAAACAAAAATGGCAAAGACCGACCTACAATTTTCAATAAAGAGTTCCGTTTCTCACTCATAAAAAGTGTGTTTTTTTAGATTAAAAAAATTAACGGATGGAACACCCTATACTTTTTCATCGATTAGTTATTTGAACAAGTGAACAAGATAGTTGAACAATATAGTAAATGCGGTAGAATAATTCCATTATAAACTATTTTTTTTAGGAATATGTACTAAAACTATGAGAAGCTATAAAAATAATTTGTCAGTTTTTGAAACTAGCTACATTTTACTTCATACTATATCGACCTTCAACTAAAATACACCTTTTTGTAGATGGTGGAATCTGGTACCGTTGTAGAGGAAAAAATCCTGCTGAAAAGTCCGGTGGTTGGGCTTCCAAATTTGGACGAATCGGATGATGAGCCACCGACCTGATCCAGATGGATGAACTAATCTGAGAAATGTCTATCACTGTTTGTTTCTGTGTTCAATTGATTATATCTTCGTTTGTTACATACATGATTTAATACATATTTCTATTGAAGATATTTGTGATTTTTTCAAATAGCAACGTGTTTAAGAACGGTACTAACAAAATACGGTAGGTACCAACGTATTTTTTTTTCGAGTTGGAAACATTCCTTAAAACTTACTAAATGTATTTCGGAGATATCTGGATCTTTTGAAGTTTTGAAGGAGATGCAATGACGTCGCTGTTGGTCTTATGACCAGGACCGACCTTTATGCAACCCGTCTCTCCAGGTACAGGTTGTTACGAGTTCGACCAATAAAGTCAATCACAGATAGCATCAAATATTTATTAAATATTAAAAAAATGTTTATATAATATTTCTAGCGACAGATTTTTTAATATTTAACAAATAAATTTCTTATCTATTCATAAAATATTCGATATATATATTTGTAGTATATATAATTCATATATTTTTGCGATATTTTCACCAAATATTTAGAAAATATATGAAGAAAGATTTTCAAATATCAATTTTATATTTTTATGATATATCTTATATTTTTTTGATGTAGATATGTATGGATTTTCAAGCATTAATCTGATACATATTTTCAAAGTATATAGAAAATTCTTTATTGGTTATTTTAGCAAAATCTGTAGGAATGCTTTTATAAAATTGGGTTTATAAAAAAAGTTCATTTTAGATATAATGGTTTAATTTGCTAGAAAAATATCGTAAAAAACATTAATTCTGCATCTTGCAAATCCACTTCTCAGAAAAAAAAACTTACTAATTATGAAGAATTATTGAATACTTACATAAGCTGCTTTCCAGTGGTCTTTTGTTTGAGAGAGATATTCTCCTAAACTACTCTAGAGAGGGTATTTATGGGAATATAAAATGCAGTGAAACAATATTGGTGCTGAGCACTGCTGAGTTACTCCGAGTAGCTCAACTGGGTCACTTAAAAATAGCTCTATAATGCACCTAAAAGGACCCCACATTTTCTTCCTATGAGAGTTAGAGATTTGGTTGATGTTTTAGCAAATTTGGTATGTTATTTTAGATATCTTGATGAAAAATAACAACTTGATCCTTTGACTAAACTTTCAAAGAAAAGGTTTTTAAAAATAGGCCACTTATTGATTTTGTTGAAATGTGACTTTTGTGCTGTAGTAAGGGGGCTAATTTAGCAATAACTATTTTGTGATTTTATATTATGATTCAAGGGACAAAAATAGTATTTTCCACTGTTAAAATTTTGGAACGTCCCTGTTGAAGTTTTAGAAAATAATAATAATAATTTTTTTTTAAATAATTACAGCTGATTTGACCCATACTACAACAAAAATAATAATAATAATTGAGATATTAAAAAAAGCATTTTTGATGTACCTCGATCAAGTTGCGATTATATGATTTTCATTATGAATATAATTTTCGTATCCATTTTCAGTTAAATCCACCAATCCCAAATCGTCAATGACTGCTACACTTCAAGGCTAATTATTTATGGTCTTGCAAATACCTTCTTACTCAACTGGCACAATAATGTTTACTAGTCAGATAAATTAAGCTATTTAATTGTGGAAAAACTTACTCTTCCCCTTTCCACAAAAAAACACTCAAATAATGTACCACAGGAAGCACGCTATCATAGTGACACTCGCAGGCAAAATGGATGCCGGAAAACGGGTCGGCTCAGGTCGGCTTGCCATTATGCCATTGGTCGCTCGGGGTCACACGCACACATATTTAATGAATATTTCGTAAATAATGGAATTTAGTATTTTACATTGATTGAAAAGTAAATATTTAATGATATTATAAAATAAATATTGTATTTAACATATTTAATAAAAATATTATATTCCAAATATTTATTAAATATTTTTTTAAGATAACAAATATTTAAGTAAGATAAAAATATTAGTAATTATTGAGTAAATATTTAATGAATATTTCGTACTGTCGGGGATGAATTTATCGTTACTTGTTCTTCCGCATTCTACCCTACACATTTGCAATATTTGCCTGGAGGCAACAGTACTATCAGTGAATTACGAAGTTAATGATTGGATCCATTGTTAAGTTATATCCAGCGAGGCGATACAATAATAAATCAAAGACAAAATTATATACATAGTTTTATTAACCACATCACATAATTAAAAAAGTACATAAATTACAATACGCAACTAGTAAGTACGTAAAGGAGAGCAGTTGAGCTTGAAATCTTGCATCATAACAAATAAATACAAAAGATGAAAATGTAAAAATATACGAAAAGCGATTAAACCTAGTATGTACAAAAAGTATAAAATTTTTTTACAAAAAATCGACAATGAGTATTTTTAGATGTACGTAGTTTGGCAGTGCGATAAAATGTCCATGGTTTTGCCTATGAAAAGATAACTAACATTGCACACTGTGCATACTCAAAAAATATACGGGAGGTCAACGAAATGAAAGAGAAGAAAATCGATTTTTTAATCATAAAAATCATAATGTCGTTGTCGGGTAATTAAATATTACATATACCAACACAATTTTGTGAGTAAAACTGGTAGAGAATCACTTGGTTGTTTCACAAACTTTAAAAATACGTGAATCCGAATTTTCACTGAGCATAATAATAAAGGGTGATCCATCGATTGAAGACCAATATTCATGCAGCCATTGGTGAGATAATGCCGGACTTTGGAAAATGTACTGAAAAATTGGGTCGCGTATGAATGAGATTGTGTTTCATCATTAGCCGGAAGGACAGTACTCTAAAATAAAAAAACCCGTTTTGAAAAAGAAGTCTGCGTTTTCATTTTAACCATCGATTTGAAAATTAATCAACAGATGGATCACCCTCTATAATAATGTAGCGTCTCAGTTTGTTTTGATATATGCGGTAACTTGAATCTTCGTTAGGGTCAGAGCTTTTTCATTCCACTATGTTACAAATTATTATCCTAGCGGCGGCTATATCAAAAAAGTTATTATTTACTATATATATTTTCTAGATAACCCTTTAATTAGTCTCCATGAATAATCTGAATTTGAGAGCGTACCGCAGGTTTAAGACATTATTTGACTAGTCTATTCACAAGTGAGAGCATTCATAAATATGGATCCCTTGACTAGCACACTTCGCACTTACACAAGGTGTCCTAAAATTTGTGGATAACGTGCTGGATTTACTCAGCATCCCTGTTTTCAAAAATTCAAACAGTTGCCTGTTTGTAGACCAATTTTTCATTTCCATATGAAACCTTCGTCTAATTGGCTATGACATTAATGTCGAGAATTACATAAAATATACTTAAGGTGTTTAGCACCTCAGTGTAATAAGTCGTAGAATTGGAAAAACTTGTTTGACAATGAGACTGGAACTCTCTTCTTCTTTTTACGTATAAGAAGATATGACGTGATACTTGTAAATGCCAGTTTTCGCTTTAATTTGTTATAATATATTGTCCAGCCATTTTAGGCCACTTTGTACGTCTGGGGGTAGCTACATATGAAATTTAATGGATTAGCTCTCAGAAAGGTAACTTTTTTGACGTCGGTCCATACATATGAGAGCGGCAGTTATAGCATCTGACATTGATCCATTAAGTTGCTACATTCTGCTGGTGTTACCCCAAGCGATGCTGTGTGCAGGTCTTGGTGGTCTTGGTAGAGAACTTCTACTACCACTGTTGCTACCGTATATTTCTTCCTCAACGAATGCCTTGTTGACGTGCCCATTTTCAAATACCTCCTGAAATAAAAAATAGCATCTTATAGATTGATTCGATACTTGCCACACATTACACACCTATTCATACAAACTGACAAAAACTCGCCTCACATTGATACTGTATAATTCTACATAAAATTCTACATATGGAGCATTTAAAGATTTTCCTATTAGCATATATTTCGTTTTGTTTGTGTTTAGTTTAAGTTTATTTACATTTAACCAATTTACTACGTTTTTCATATCATTATTTAACAGCTCTATTGCAGTTTCAATGTCTTTATTTGATATATATATATATATATATATATATATATACGAATATATATAAAAATTAAAGCTTCCGCCTTTTGTTGGGTACTTCGACAAAATTTAAGCAGAGAGGACTCTTTATACTTTTTTAATTCTCTCAAGCTTTCAATGGACTTTGCCATCATCATCAGGAGCTGCAATTACAACAATTACAATGATAACAGTAGCAACAAAAGTGTAAAATAAATTTAAATTGACTAAATTCATTTTACACTTTTGTTGCTACTGTTATCATTGTAATTGCAGCTCCTGATGATGATGGCAAAGTCCATTGAAAGCTAGAGAGAATTAAAAAAGTATAAAGAGTCCTCTTTGCTTAAATTTTATCGAAGTACCCAACAAAAGGCGGAAGCTTTAATTTTTCACCTAACTGGTCTAGACGACAATGACCACGTCTCAAAATATATATATATATATATATATATATATATATATATATATATATATATATTAATGTATCATCAGCAAATAGTTTAATTTGGTAGTGTTGTAAAATATTAGGAATATCGTTAATATATAAAATAAATAGTAATGGTCCTAATTTGCTACCCTGTGGCACACCTACCGAAATGTTTTTAATGTTTGATAATGTCTTGCCAATTTTAGTTCTTTGACTTCTATTGATTTAATAAGTTGAATACTGAACCTTGGATATGAAACATAGCGTTTTATATGGGAAATTGTCTGTACTTTTTAGTGAAAAAACCAAATTTGAATTTAAAAACCAAAACCACTCTAGGTTATATTTTGGATAAAATAATCATGAAAAAAGTTGTAAAAGTGACGTTTGCTTCCGGTTTTGCACCCTAGTTTTTCAGTATTGAATATTTAAAAAAATCGTATGAAAATAAACTATAATTTTAAGTTGAAATGTATTTAATTTTGTTATCCGCTTATATCAAATTATAATTTGGTAAAAGAATGTAACTGTGCTCAGTCGGTAGTTAATAAGCCCTCAGAGGGTGATTCTTTGTACTTAGGATTTTGGATGCAAATGGTTGTGGTTCGGACGCCTCCTAGTTAAGCACGAGGAAAAGAAATAACAAGTAACCAATGTTGGGTCCCTCGCGCTAAAGGAGATACAAACTCACAAGGTACACTAACATTTATGAAACAAAAGAAATAAAAAAAAAGGTGAATGAAGTCCTGGAGGACAAGCAAAAGAAAATTATTTTGTACTACCCCCCCAGCAAAAACTAAAATAAAAATACCCATTGGCAGGTGCTTGGCTATCACAGGAAGGCAACCAAGGGCAGGAAGTCCCAGTTGTAACTCAATACCCGAAGGTAGAACCCTCGAACCATTTGGGCTCACTGAAATGAGGGACTGCTCCTCACAGACGTGAATCCTACTTAAATTCGCCTCAGAGTATCTATGTAGACAGTTCCCCTCAGCTCGATGGTTTTAGTGTAGTTGTGACAACGGCGAAATCCCCAAGAGGGTGAGAAAAGGGCTCCGATAACAAAATTCACCAAGGGAGGCCGATTTCTACCAAAATCTCCACAACCCGATAAAACCCACATTGGGTGGGAAACTAATTCACTAACGAAGGTTGTGGATCGTATAACTCCTACACGAGAGCACCAGAAATAGCCCCAAGTCACCATCAGCTCTCGTATTTACGGTCGACAGAAAATATAAAAAGAACGATTTAACGAGATGGAGAGTAGAGTACGATTTTCTACTATAATATTGTTAGACCAAGAGAAGTGTTTTGCTATAAAAATAAAATTCGATATATTTAATAATCGCTATAAAATTATTATTCTAAATAAGAAAAACGTTGTAATAATTTATTTCATCAAGATACAGTTAATTCAGTCAGACTGTAACAATTTAATTATTAGAGCTGAAAAATACTCATTTTTGTGACCTATTAAAGCAGTATCTCGCAAACCAGTGGACCTAAACAAGCTGCGTCATACTCAGGGTGAAATGTATCTACATTAAAGTACGTACTTCCTTAATTAATGTGCATATCATTTCAAAAATTTTGAAGTATTTTAAACACACATCGGACTATACTTTGGAGTAAAAAAATCGGAAATAAAAATTTTGGTGGAGTGTTTTCCTCAATTTTTTTTGAATGTCAAATTTGAATTTTCATCAAAAAATTTCCTAAATAAAACGTTATGTTTCATATCCGACTATAATACTCTTCAATTTGAAAAAATGCTTCCAACGAAATCTCAATTTCAAATACTAACTTAGAAAATGAACGTGATACAATAAGATCATGTTTTTTTTTTACATTTCTGCTAGATGTTCAAACAGGCCCAATATGGATTTTAAAATCTTTTTTTTTGCAGACCGCTCCACGTGAAATGTCCCTTATGACAAACAACTGTCATTTCTGTCATCAAGAACAAGGCTAATAATCGGGGACCGCTTATTTTTACCTTAGCTGGAATACTGCTAGCTACGCTACTTCTATGGTTCCTTGTCACATTGTTATTTTGGAATTCGTTTTTCGCTCCTAAGGTCTGCATATGTGATTTGCGACGTTCGGCCATCACAGAATTGACACGCACTTCCAAAGCTTTCATTGTTTCAGGCCGCATCGTCATCCTGCGGCTCAATACTGGTGTACCTGGGTAACAAAGTAGACGTGTAAATCAAATAGTATAAAGCATGGTTTCGGTTGCTATACTACAACTAATTAAAACTGTAATGACTCATACGCGTGATCAACACGTGATCAGAGCTCGATCCCGGCTTCCTTCCAGTATAGCCGTATAGCGTACGACATATGTCGTTTCTGTGGCTTTGCGGTGGTCAACAGCACAGACAGAGATGGAAATAATGGCTGATTGTTCTCCGCCGGTAGAACCAATGAAATTAAAGACGCGCCTCGACCGGCAGACTCATAGGCGTCGGCAACGCATTGGAACGTGTTTCGTTGAGCGATCGCATATGTGTGTTTTTATGAGAATTGTTGTTGTGATTGTTATTGTTGTGGTTTCTGTGGTTACTGTTTTGGTTATACTTAACCATGGAGAGTACAAATGGCACGAGTGGAAGTACTGAAAGCCAGGGAACAAGTAGACGGCTTCGTAAAGCACTGAAGAGGGACGCGAAAGAAATCGTGCTCAACGTGTTCAATTATCTGAATAGAACTATGTCGCAGGGAGATGCACTCGCGCGTTGTGAAAGAATGACAGGCGTTCCAGAGTGGACCATTCGCAGGGTGGTGCATGAAAAGAAGAAAACTGGAGCTACTACTGATCCAAAGTTTAATTTAAAGGGACGAAAGGCCGTTAAATTGGATGACGATAGCAAAATGGCGTTAAGGCGAACCGTACATTCATTCTTCTTTAGGAATGAGATACCAACCCTCAAGGCTGTACATGCAGCGATCAAGGAAAAATGAAATTATACCCCAAATGAGCGTCGAGGTAATGAGGAATCCCTGCACGAAATTAATTTTCGTTACGAAACGCGTAATTGGAAGTCAGTATTGATAGAGAGACCTGAAATAGTCGCCTGGCGTCGAAAATACCTACGCGAATGATTGAATATAGGCGACAAAGCTGAAAAATCTATTATTTGGACGAGACATGGGTAAATGCAGGTCACACAGTTAAAAAAACCTGGATAGACAAAAACGTAGTGAGTAACCGACAAGCAAGCATTGAAGGTTTGTCAACAGTCTTCGTGGACCGTCAGAAAAGGTCAAAGATTGATCGTACTCATATTGGTACCGATAGTGGCTTTTTAGAAGAGTATGACTTGATTTTCGTCTCTAAGAAAGGAGGTGATTACCATGACGAAATGAATGCCAGCTGCTTCGAGAGCTGGTTTCAAGGGGTGCTTCAGCGAGTTGAGCCCAACTCTGTGATCGTCATGGATAATGCTTCCTACCATAGTCGTCGAGCCGAACGTGTACCGACTATGGGATCTCGAAAAAGTGACATGCAGCAATGGTTGCGCGAAAAAGGAATCCCGTTTGACGATTCATGTGTGAAAGCGAATTGTATGAAAAAATTAAACAGCACAAACCTGCGAACATTAGTTACGTGACTGATGAGATGGCCCGTCAATGTGGTGTCACTGTGCTGCGGTTACCGCCCTACCACTGTGAACTGAACCCAATAGAGCTCATCTGGGCTCAAGTGAAGGGTTATATTGCGCGCCATAACACAACCTTCAAATTACCAGACGTTAAGGTTTTACTGAGACTTCCATACAGCTAGTAACGCCCGAAACTTGGCAGAATACTATCCGTCATGTTGTGAAGGAAGAAACAAAAATGTGGCAGCTTGACCACCACATCGACACCATCATAGAGCCAGTTATAGCCAATTTCAACGAGGAAGCGATAGCATAGTTTATTACTGTCAGATGTAAGTGGAAGCGACGATGAAAATAAAGGTAATTCCCAAATTTTTGACTTACAAATATGTTTCAAACCACTCTTTATTAAGCATGTGACAAATCTAGTTCACCCATGTTAAATATTCATACCCCGCCTATGAACAGCCGAACGACTGGTAGTTAAGTGATGTTCACGTGAACATCGATGAGTCATTACAGTTTTAGATAGTTATAGTATATATTGACTCGTAATGTTTGCGGGATAAGACGTTCGGTTGGGCTAGTTTTCTTTGTATTGAATAATAATATAAATGGCCTTTATTCGTTCTATAGTTTAAAGGAAAAATAAAAAAAAGTGTGTGGAAAAGGTGGACCGTCGGTTTAAGCTGTTTTTCAACCTGACCTGAAGACATAGATACAATTGATAAACTTGCTATAAGGAAAACATATTTGATTACAAAAAAGCACAAATATTCTACTTTCCAGAGAAATGAAAACAATCAACTACCTGTAAGAGATGCGTAAAGTTAAGTTTTAGCCTTCCGATTCTTTTAAGTCATTTTTAAACCATTTCTTAAGTAGCCTAGGCTGGATTCTTTATACCCAGTTGACAAGCAGTTATATAGTTTGGGGGCCCAGTGTGAGAAACTACGTGTGAACAATGCTGTGTAAACATAATATAGCACTTTAAGGAGAAGGAAGAGATGTATAGTTGTTGACACCGTTCTTGGCAGTTACGCATGCGAAATAAAGTAAACAGATCGAGTCCTCTGTACTTATGGGCGGATCTTATTTCTTACACCGCTTGTTTTCATTCTTTTCGGAAATACTCCAATAAATTTCCTTCTACATTGGTCGTATTTCCGGGCGTGTACAATTTCCTATTGAAGATTGATAACAGGACAACTCAAATTGCAAGCAGATTGCATAGTTGGTTAAATTTTTTGGTGAATATATGTTTTCCAGAAAATGCACTACCCCTGTACTCGTATGTTTCACAAATGAATTCGACGATTATAATTTTGTCACAACATCGACGGCTTTGAAAATATCATATATGATTATAAGAAGTATAATCATAACTTCATCAAGATATTTCATTACCCACCTCCGTCAGGATTGGCGTTCAATTTTGCAAATCTCTCTTGAACGCAACATCTAACGTTCCAATTTTGTCTTTTCTTCTGCGCTGCTTTTTCTAGGTTATGAATGGTTTTTCTTCTTCCTATCCTGTCTGGCCCAGATTTCCTGAGTCGTTGTCGTAATCTCCATCGATACCCTGTAGCTTCTGTAGTTGCTTCACGATTTCAACAGCCTGTTTATCTAATAGAGCATTTGGAGACATCTCTTCCTTCTGAAATAAAAACGACGATACTTAATATTTTGCTCTATAGGTTCGGTGGATGTATTGAAGTAATATGTATTTTCTTTCAAAAGTTTCTTGGGTACAGGTCCTGATTACCTACTAACCTGTAGTCAGGCATTTATACTAATAATAATAGACGTCTTTATTTGATTCAAGTACTTGTATCACCTTTTTTGTGAGTAAAACTCCGTTGTGAAATTAGCTGTACTCTGTCGCATTCAAAGTTACATCATGATAAGGGAACATCCAAAGTAAGCAAGCTCTATTTTATTCTAGATAGGTAGCTAGGAAAATAATTATAGTTACCTTCTTTGTACAGGACCAGTTTAGTTCAGTCGACGCTAAGATATGGGCTAATGTTCCAAATCGATGGAACAACATAGCGACGAATTGAATCACCAAAATCAATGCGAAGAAAAACACAAACACCAATCCTATTGGTTCCAGCTGGAGGTACTCTTTCGTTATATGTACCTAAAGGAATAAAGTACGTTAGATTGTTTTGTCGTTGTACAAAGCAGTTTCAAGCGAGGCAGCTGTTGTATTTGTCAATTATGTACAGTAATCTAGTAATATTTCATATTTCATGCACACAAAAATATTCAAAAGTTACGTATACGTAAAAATACATACTCCTAATGGGAGCAAGATTTGACAGTATTAGATTGTATATTTTTTTGGAGCTTACATGAACATTATTGACAAATAAATCAGGCTTATATTAATTCACATCACCAGGACACATGCATAGATTCACACCATACCAGTTAAATTATTCACAACGAATTGGAAAAAATAAGGGAGAAAATTGACGACAGGAACTTGTCTGGTGAAGAGGAGTTATCGATATTATTTCTTGATGGGTTACAACTGTACTGTATGTACTATTACAAACTTCATAATTCATTAATATACTGAACTGTGGGCTATGAACTACTTTGGATGTTTTACACATGGAACTTATTATTTATTCGACACTAGTTGCACATACTTCTGATGGCGGTAAATCCACTTTACGATGATGGTGATGAAATGTAGTACGATATGTTGGGATTTATGCATTTTTCTCTTATTTTTTTCTCTTGATTTCATGTTGAGTTTTTTGCTTCTGAATCATGATGATCTAATCCGTCATTGCTGGCATAGCTGGACAGAAACAGAAGGTCATTTGGGAAAAAATATTTACAGTACGTTTGATCAGTATTTATGACATCACAGAGCTACCATTGTTTTTATTAAATTGTCCGTCTTTGCAGCAAGAGTTATTACCGATGGGGTGACTTCTCCATACTGATCGCTTTCATTCCACAGGAGAAAAATCCAGATATAAAATGTTTTACACTTTCCTTACGCTCTATACTTCTAGTATGTTTACTCTCTTTAATTTTGTGCAGGTCGTTTTGTAGATAAACCAGATTTTTTCCTGTGCATACCTCACAAGTGTACTTAATCCGTTCCTCTCCTACCAGATCTAGCCAGGCGTCATTCTACTCTTGTTGTAAGCAACCATACAATCTAGTTTCACATTTTGTTCAACTTGAATTTTTTTCAGTATTCCTGAGGTGTTTATCTTTAACTTCCAATCTGTGCGAATCAGCCAAGCCACTCCTCCCTTAGCCCTTTCTGTGTGTTTATTACCTTTCGATACATTTTTATTGTCTTCCCCTTTACTTATATCTACTTTACATTCAAAATTCTTGGTCCTTGCCGCTGCCTTGGCCGTCATCTCGTCATCGTTACTCTATTGTCTAGTTTTGTGATTTTTTACAATTTTCTGCTGTTCTACTTTGCCTTTTCTCTTCATCTTCTTTCTCTGGTGTTAGTTCACTAAATATTCGTGTTAATCTTTTATTTTGCTCGAGCTTCTAACATGTTACATATTTGCATCGAGTTCTTTTAGGATATAGGATCTAACATTCATTATTTTATAATGTCTAAGATATGTGGTGTTTCCCTTTACTCTTTCTTCTTCCATTCTCCCTTCGTAGTTCAACTATTATTTTAATATGTCTTTCCGTGATGATCTTGTTTTTTTCTTAATCAGCAAAATTTGATTCCTCAGTTTATTCGTATCTATTTCAACACGTACTTGTGTTTTTCTCCCTTTTTATTTCTTGTTTATCTTGTTGTTCTCTCATATTAGCTGTTTTTATTTTAAGTGTTATTTCGCTTTCATTTTCTTTACCCAAGCCGTGAATTATGAGGTACTTTTTCATAAGTTCTTGCTCTAGAAAGATTATATTCTTTCGCTCCTTGATCTTTTAGTTCTTCATTTTCGATTTTCATTTTTCCATTTCATTTCTGTCAAACCTGGTACTATTTTCTGATCCTAACTTATCCAATGTTCTGCTCATCTCCTCTAATTTTAAATTATTTGGTGCATTGCTGACAATTTTCAGGACAGGGGGACAACTTTTTAGCCAAAAACTACTTCACCCCTTTCACCCTCTGGCCCCCAGGGTCATCCCCTTAAAATTTTTAAATGACAAGGGGTATCGAGTAATAGCTTCTTTACAAGGTCTTCGCAGTCCTTTATTTTGACCTTTGATTTTCGAGAAAATTAGAAAAATCTTTATTTATCTTAATTTGTTCAAATAGAAAACAACCAAA